AAATTAAATTAAACACTGCTAAATTAACCTTGACCCTACTACCTTAACCTTTACCTTGATAAATCAACATTTACCTTCATGAATAAAAGTTAACCCTGCCTTAATTAACCTTTACCTTAAGTATGTTAACCTTTACCTTGTTAAATCAACCTTTTACCTTAATGAATAAAAGTTAACCCTTCTTCATTTGACATTCACCTTACTAAGTTAACCTTTACCTTGTTAAATCAACCTTTACCTTAATGAATAAAAGTTAACCCTGCTTAATTAACCTTTACCCTCCTTTAACCCTAACCCTGGTAAGTTATCATAAGCTTTGCTAAAAAAATAAACCCATACGCTGCTAAATTAAATTTACCCTTCACTCTGCTAAATTAACCTTATCTTTGCTAATTTACTCTTACCCTGCTAAATAAACCCTTTTGCTGCTAAATAAACCCTTTTCCTACTAAATAAATCCTAGTTCTGCTTAATTAATCTGAGCTCTGATAAATTAACCTTTGCTCTGCTAAATTAACCTTAGCTCTGATAAATAAACCTTAGCCAAGGCTAAATAAACCATAGCCATGCTAAATTAACCTTAACTCTCTTAATTAAACCCCAGCCTGTTAAATTAACCTTAGCTTTACTAAATTTACCCTTACCCTGCTAAATAAACCCTAGCACTGCTAAATAAACCCTAACACAGCTAAATAAACCCTAGCACTGCTAAATAAACCCTAGTGCTGCTAAATAAACCCTAGCACTGCTAAAACAAGAGGGCCATGATGGCCCTGAAGTCGCTCACCTGTGCATAGGCCCCCGGAGCGGGGCTAGTATAAAGCCCGGGGCTTTTATTTGAACAAACTTTGTAGACAACCATTAGAAGATGTTTCATGCTAAACATCTAAGGTCTAGCTGGTTGGGATTTTTAAAAGAAGATTTTTTTAAGTTTTTTCTTTACACATATAGTTAAAAACAATGACACACCTGGGGCGGGCCAATTTTGACTCCAGGGCTTTTATTTGAACAAACTTTGAAGACACTTACTAGAAGATGCTTCGTGCTTAATATCTAAACTCTACCTATTTGAGTTTTTTCAAAGAAGATTTTTCAATTTATGCTATAGTTTTACACATATAGGGAAAATGAATGACCTCCGGGGTGGGGCCAATTTTGACCCCAGGGCTTTTATTTGAACAAACTTTGTAGACAATCACTAGAAGATGTTTCATGCTTAATATCTAAACTCTAGCTATTTGGTTTTTTCCAAAGAAGATTTTTTAAGTTTTTCCTTTACACATATAAGGAAATTTGGAAAATCACTGACCTCCAGGGCCGGGCAAATTTTGACCCCAGGGCTTTTATTTGAACAAACTTGGTAGACACCCAGTAGAAGATGTTTCATGCTAAATATCTTAGCTCTAGCTCTTTGGGTTCTTTAAAAGAAGATTTTTGTATTTTCTGATCGCAGATCAGTAAATACATAGCTAACATCCACGGTCTAACACAAAATTTCCTAACAGACCTAACAACGCAAAGTAGTTCTCACTCAAAACTGCTTAAAAACCAGCAATTTAAAAGAAAGAACAATTTTTTGTTACACGTGTCCAACAAATTACTACACATTCAAACTTTAAAAGTAGCGTTGGCTTATAGAAATGTCAATAAATGCACACTCACAAATTACGCGGATGAATATGATTTTAATCAATGAAAATGCTATTTTAGCGATGTCGATTACCGAATACTACGCAAATAAATCTGACTGCCGAGTAGTTGAATATATAATTTCTACATGTTGGACTGTTTGGGTGAGAAGATTTTTGCTAAATTATTTACTTCAATTTTAAACAACAGGTTTACCCTGAACAAAATACCTCGAAATTACCCTAACCCGAAATGCAATGGAAATTCTAAATTTAGAATGACTTGATTTTATTCAGCCCCGAACTGCAATGGAAATTCTAAATTTAGAATGACTTTATTTTATTCAGCCTCTGTTTTTATAACTTCTCCGTGGTGCAGGGGTAACGCGCTTGTTTAGTGTGTGAGAGGTCTGGAGTTCAAATCCCAGTCCAGTCAACATTTTTTAAAATTCTTATTTTAGTGTCTTTGTTAATGAAATAGCCACGATATGCAAGGATAAAGTGTGGCTATCATAAAAAATGAACATAAATGATTTTTTGATGCAACTCTAGTTATGCAAAATTCCGTATGTATCAAACTCTGGTGCCCTGCAAAATGAATTATAGTACATAACAAGAAAAGCATTGATGCAAAGCATCAAAGGGCGTCCAAGCAAGAAATGCAGCAGGTGAAGATGAACTAGTAGATATATGATTATAAACTTTTCAATGGTTAATTGGTTTTTACCAGAATTGTAAATCACTTATGAATGAACGGACAAAAGACATTGTTCATTATAAACTTTGATTGGCATGCTAGAGATTAGAATATTACTTGTTATTTCTTTATGATCGTGGTTATTAATAGCCACGGATATACATGTATACAATCATTTATAATCCATATGTGTAATGCATGATCAACACCACACTTGTGTAATTGTCCCTTATTATGTTATCGCCATTAGCGAAGACCCCCTCTAAAGGTATCTGTTCACACTAATCTTACTAACAATATGACACTGGTTACATTACCATGTTGATCATGTTGAGCATAATTGTTTATTATACAATAATTGTAATATCTATTTTAATAAAAAATACAGACTTTATGAATATTGTTTTCTTTTCTTTTTTGTGTTTTATGTGCTATTTTAATACTGAGTTTTTACGTTAACTACTATTTTAAAAATTCAATTGTCATATTGACCGACGATTATAAGTAAAATCTTAACTGGAAAAAGGCAGTAAATTATGGTTAATCTTTCAATATATAATTATTGTTTATTCTTAAACCATATACATGTACATTTGTATTTTTCTTTATCATTTTTTAAATTATCAATCAATTGAATAATTCATAAAATCTAATTTGTAACTTTGAATAATTCCTCGGCATCTTTACTTAACACGAATAACAAATTAAATAAAATGTTTCAAAGTTGATAGTGTCATATTAATACCATAAAAATGTACATTTTTTCTCAATTATTGTACATATTTATTGTTTTATCTCATATAGATAAAATAAAACATGCTATTGTTGTTGTTGGTTTTTTTTTCGAATTGTATGTTTATGTATAACGATAATCAATAAATTTGAGAGTTGATCTGTTTTTATTAATTATTGTAACCAAACTAAGTGACAAACATTCATGTTGAAAAAAACTTATATAACTGTAAAATATTTGTTCTATTCTGTAACGATATCAAACATCTACTACAAAACCGGGAGAGACCGGACAATAAACGTGTGGTACTATTCACCGGTCACTAGTAAATCCCGGTCAAAAAAGACCATGAGAGACCGGGAATTACCGATAGGGGTACATCCCTCTATAAATAGATTTTCGGTATATTTAGGTCATCAACTCATCATGGATACATGTACCATAATAACCCACTGTGTACTACAAAATGATAAATAAAAATACCCCGAAGAGCGCGATTTATTGACGGAAAAGGTTATTTCATTTGAAAATATTTGCATTGCGAAATTCTCCAGTTCGCTATTCATTGTATATATCGCGACATTTCATTTTTAATTAATAATCAAGCACCCTCATACTGATCGGAATGATCGGCTTTTATTATGTCCGACTAAAAGGCTCGAGAAGTTGCTGTCGCCCTTTCACAAAATCTGATTTCATTCCATAAGAGGCGCCGCGCTTCGCGCAAAATAAACTTATACAGGAAAACACATACAGATATACAGTACGATTTAGATTGCAAAGATCAGAAAATACCACAGAGCTTGCAGCCCTTTGATTTAAGTTTTTACTATATGTATATATGGAAAATCAAAAACCCCCTGGGGTGGGGCCAACTTTGACCCCAGGGCTTTTATTTGAACAAACTTGGTAGACATCCATTAGAAGATGTTTCATGCTAAATATCTTAGCTCTAGCTCTTTTGGTTCTTTAAAAGAAGATTTTTTAAAGTTTTTACTATATGTATATAGGGAAAATCAATGACCCCCTGGGGCGGGGCCAATTTTGACCCCAGGGCTTTTATTTGAACAAACTTGGTAGACACTCACCAGAAGATGTTTCATGCCAAAAATCTAAGCTCTAGCTCCTTGGGTTTCTTAGAAGAAGATATTTTAAGTTTTTTCTTTTGGTTGCCATGGCAACCAGAGTTCTGCATGGAATTAAATTCTTTGAACAATTTTCAAAGGTGACCACCAAAGGAACATTCCTGTGAAGTTTGGATGAAATTGGCATAGTGGTTTATGAGGAGATGTCATTTAAAGTAAAAGTTTACGGACAACGGACGACGGACGGACGTCGGATGAAAAGCCATCACAAAAGCTAACCCTGTCACTTTGTGACAGGTGAGCTAAAAACACTAGCACTGCTAAATAAACCTAGCGCTGCTAAATAAACCCTAGCACTGCTAAATAAACCCTAGTCCTACTAAATTAATCCTAGCTCTGCTAAATTAACCAACGTTCTGCTAAATTAACCTTAACTCTGCTAAATAAACCCTAGCCAAACTAAATTAACCCTTATCCTGCTAGATTAACCCTAACCAAACTAAATTAATCCTAGCTCTGCTAAAGAATTGCTGGTTTGCCTTACTGGCTATCATATACCTGTCAGGTATCACTGTCATAATTTAAACAGTTTGAGAACATTATATTTAATGAAACACTGTCACCTTGAGTAATTCAGTACCGAAAACTTTTATATGCCTGTATCAAATAAGCATGGAAATATGATTTTACTATAAATATACCTGTATTTGTTATATATCACTCTATTTAGAACCTCCTGTATGTTACTTGGGTTACATTTTATTCAGTTTTAAAACAGTATTCAGGTGTTGTATTTTTATGTAATATTAGCAAAACACAGAATATGTAATGATCATCGGGTAAAGATTATTTTATACATTTTCTATGTAAGTAAATGACATACGTATTGTGCACTGTTCAGCTGATTTAGATCCAACATTACTGGCTACATATCCAGGTTTCACTGTTTCACATTCTACACATGAACCAAATCTGTCATCATCACCTTTAAAACTCTCTATTGGACAACTCTCACATTGTAGTGTGTCTGCATTATATTGTTTCCCTCCGGGACAAGTTGCTAAAATAAATGTAGAAAAAAAATCCTGGATGTGCTTTCTGATTATAATTTTAAATGTTGTTATTATAGGTATTGTCACAACTTTAAGGCTTTAATGGTGTTTGTAGTAGACCCATAAATCCCCTCTATTAGCAGTCACTATATTGATACAACACACTAATTGATAACTAATAAGGAATTAATTTAAAATGTTGTCACAATACATAATAGTGACATGATGTGATAAACTTTTACTGAAACATAAAACATTTCTCCCATGGTCAGATGAGTTAATGAACCCTTACGTTTACAAAGTGAAGATTTATCTGTTCCTGTTTGTTCAGTGCCATAAACAATGCCATTTGTAGTTCCACATGGAATACATTGTACTTGCGAGTTTGGATATTCAACTTCAGAGTAATAATCCATGTCACAATCAGTGCATACATTATCCTTCAGATATTGGCCTGCTACGCACTTTGCTGTAAAATCGTAAAATAACAAATAATTCAATTTCATTTTATATTTATTCCTACCAATAGAAGACTCTTTTGTCATATTTATATTTATGTTTGGTAAGACAAAGTTAAAGGGACTTGAATTCATGATAGTGAAACTGTTTATATCCAATGGAAAAAAAAAACAACCTCAACAGCTTTTATACAACCAGCCTATTTTTATCAGTGAAACTTGGTTTAAAATTTATGCTATTATTCAACATAATCTGACCTCATATTAATTCTGATAAAGATATGAAAGATGATTGTTTAATGAACAACTGAATTTTACAGTAATTATATTTAGCAAGCGCACACTGTTATATCTATAACATCTGGAGGGATTTCGTAATGCTATTTATTAGTTATAGCTACAATTGAGGGATATGAAATTATTAGAACATAATTTATGTTTATTTGAAGAAATAAAAGAAACATACGTAAAGTACACAAAGATTCACTGACTGCCCCTGTATTCTCGGTAGTTTTACTATCAGGACAGATAGTACAGTCCTCAAATCTAGCAGCACCAACATTCTCTTTATATGTCCCTCTTTCACATGGCTTACAAGTTGACTCCGAGAAAAACCGTCCAGCATCACATATAGCTGAATAAAACAAACATTATAATGTCATATCCTTTAATCACTACAGAACCAGTTGTACTTTGAAAAATATAAGTTAATATAACTGTACTTGATTTCAACAAACTTACCAACAAAAATCAAACATTTTTCAGAGACAATGACACTATTTTGTGAGAAATGAGATAACATAAAAATATACATATACAGAAATAAAATGTGATAACACTCACGCAGACAATTTTCAACAGTTGTTGTTCCTTCAGTCTTTGTATTAGTAATTCGGCCATCTTTTGGTGGGCATGGCTTGCATTTATCAGTTGATAGTGGAAATTGTACTGGCTGGTAAAAGTTCAGGTCACAAGGCTCACATCCAGAGTCTGTGGAGACAAAGCCGGCCTCACATTTATCTGAAAAAAAATGAGAACTCAATCTTAATATAAACAAGACTTTGTTACCAAGTAAACAATGTCCTCATGCTGTTTTTAATTCAGTGCAAAATCTTGATAAATGCAACAATAAATTCATTATAGACATAAAATGAAACAACTTTTGGTATGTGTAAACAGAAATACATGTACATTATCACTGAAAATGAATACATAATGGCAGATAATTTGAAAATTATTTAAGATACTTATGTGACAAGATCATATTAAGGTCAAGGTCAATTAAATCTTCTTTAATATCTTGTCCCAAGGATTGTTGTGCACAGGTATGATGACAATACATTAACTACAAAGTTATAACCAATTAAAGCAAAAAAACTGTGAAATTACAATGATTTGACCATCAAGGTTAAGGTGATTGACAGTTCAAGGTCACACTGAGTTTTATTTGTTCTTAAGGTAGATGTGCTCAAGTATGAAGAGAATCCATCCTAATATATAACAAAGTTATAGCTGATGACAGCAAAAATCAAGCAAAATTAATTAACTTAACCTTAAAGGTAGGTCCATGAATGAGTCATGGTCAAGTTTAGTCTAGTCTACTTGAAGGTCTTGTCCAAAGGGTTGCTTTGACTATATATGAAGACAATCCATGAAATAATAAAACAAAATAAGGCCAACGTTAAAGTTTCTGGACAGCAATGCATCAAAAACTTGACAGTCACAATGAGTCAAAATTTTCCTTCAAAAAAGTCAGGCTAATCAATAAAAGATGATTTAAAAAAAGAGCTCAAGGCATTGAAACAGGGAAATGGAGATATAAAGATAAGAAAATGTCTTACAAACACTACAAGCATCAACACTTTCAGAACCAAGCTTGTCTGTTGTTGTCTCTTTCCCATTTTTATCAGGGCATTTCCTACAGTTATCAAACCTTGTATTACCAGCATTGTCTTTGTAGTAACCTCGTGCGCACTGCTCACATTTGTCTCCATTTAAAAATAATCCAGCTGGGCAGTACCCTTTAATAACACGAATAAAACATAATTAAGAATTATCCAGGCGGGCAGTGCCCTTTAAGCGTTAACCGGTATATACATAAAAACATTGCAGTTATGAAGAATGATTATTAGCAATCATTAAATCATGAAAGTCCATTACATTATGAATAATCCATATGGACAGTATACTATCTAATTATGAATAATCTATGAGCATTATCCTTTATTATATGGGCAGTACCCTCTAAATTATATAATGAATATACTATAAATATGAGCAGTACCCTTAAGTATGTGGGCATTACCCCCTAAATTATATAATGAATATACTATAAATATGAGGAGTACTCTTTATTATGTGGGCATTACCCCCTAAATTATATAATGAATATACTATAATTATGAGCAGTACCCTTTAATTACATTATTCAATTATCATGAAGAATGATACAAGTAGGCTGCACCCTTTAATTACATGAATAAATTACTACTGTTAAATAAGTTCACATAGATTTTGATTACCTAGAAGGACAAGATCAGCCCTGATCCATTTATTTTGACGACATGTACCTCACAATTGACAAGTGTAAGTATTGTCACATATATGAACACTGTTTATTTACTGGCTATTGCTTCACTTTACCTACGTCTTCATGTAAATGGCTACTAGGACAGATTTATAATTCTATTGCAACATTATGTTAGTATCATAAAACAATTGTACTAACGTGTGCATTTATCAGAAGTGGAACCTGGCCCTTCAGTGCCATAAAGATTAGGGCATGCTTTACATTGAGTGCTGGATGTTGGTGATTCATCGTCAGAATAAAAGTCTTGCGGACAGTCTTTACATATCCCGTCCTCTATAAACTGGCCTGCACGACATATAGCTGTAAAAAATACAGTAAAACTTAAAAGTCCTATGATATGTGCATGTATAAAGAACTATCTATCTCAATCATATTTATATATAACATTATCTATATAATATTTCAAACCACTGTAACATCACCTCTTAATATATAAAACTACTGTTAGAATCATATTTCTAATACATACACATCAAACTTGTGTTACATCATCTTATACATCAAACGTGTTCTTCATCACACTAGTTTACCAAAACACTGTAACATTACCTCTCTAATATATCAAACCACTGTTACTTCTATCTAATATCCTTTCGACGGCCATCCGCTATACCCGTAGGACGGCCAAAGCGTAACAAAACGTATCAAATTTTTCAAATTTCTGAAACCCAGTCTAATTTTACGACCTGACGTCCATAGCGTAGTAAAACGTATCAAAAATATACCTTTCTAGAAATGTAGCGTAAATCAGCGTAAAACTTGAATTTTGTGTCATGCAAACCTGTAAAAATCTCGTTTTTGTACATTCTGGTTATTTAATGTGTTTTTGAAAAATCAAAATATTACGCTATGGCTGTTCAACTGCATACGATAAACAACAAAGCCATACCGTATAACACTGTTAATATTACGTTCAACTGCAATAAACAGACTCACAATCCTTGTTTTTTAAAACAAGTTCTGAATGTTTTAAAACGGTAAATTTTACGTTATTTACCGTTATAGCCCATTAGAATAACCCGTTGAGTAAAATGTCCACAACGTTTTAAAACGTAATTATTGAAAATCAATGAAAATCAATTTTTCTCAGGAAGGGTGATTGATATTATGCTTTTCAACGTGAATTTTGTAAGTTCAACTCATTTTTGTTTCAAATAAGAGAACTGCTTACAGAAACTCCGTTTGATGTATCAATAAAAGCATTTTAAAGTACTTTACCATTTAGAAGATTTTCTTTAATTAATTTGGATATCGATTTGATTACCACATTAATTAAAATGTGTACTGTATATCTAAAAATTTACTTTATCTGTCAATAAAGGGCACTATACAATTAACATATTTGGTGTTTTTATTTGAACAACATTTAACAGAATGAAATAAATGAAAGGTAAACTTTAAGAATTTAGTCATTTAAAACTAAATTTTGGTGGCCTTCCTACGACAAAACAGTAGTGGCTTTCAGGAAGCCAAAATTTTATACCGGTTTATTACGTTATAGCCTTCTTATGACTATAGCCTCCGGCTTTTGAGAAGTCGATTTTTTGGTACGTTTTATTACGCTATGGACATCAAAAGGATATATGTAATTGTATGTTTGTTTTTCTTTATACTTGTATTATGATCTTAATGGCCAAAGTCCTTGCTGCATTAATTATAATTGACAATATAACATTTTCTAATTTACAGTTTGGATTCATACAAAGACAAGTCTTAAAACACAAACTAGGCAGACTAAATAGCTAAATATTTACATGTTCTTTCCTATGACAAAACACAATGTTTCATTTCTTAATAAAAGTTAAAAGGTTTCTACTAAGAAGCTTCTTAAAAATATAAACTGAACAATACATACGTATTTTACAATCCTCTGATGATGTGGCTCCCATCATGTCTGTTGTGTCTTCAGGACACTGTTTACAACGGTCAAATTGTGCTGTACCAACATTATCTTTATAAAAACCCCTCTCACATGGTACACACTGGTTCCCATTCTTTATCTCATAGCCAACAGGACAGTAGACTGAATAACAACAATAATTATATGTTAGAGCAAAAACACACACTATAATTATACAATTTCATTATACATGTAAAACGTATATTCAGACAGGTACATTAAGGTTGTAAAGTATTACATTGTTTATGGCTAAGGTCAGCATAGAAACAAAATACCTACAAAATACATGCAACCAATTACATATTCAGCTAACAATTATAAATCTTATGATATATCTGTATCATATATAGAGTACTAGTTGTGTACATACATTCACATATGTCTTTATTGTTAGCACCCTCTTCTCTTGTAGTCAAGTTACCAGGGCATGGTTCACACTTAAGTTCCAGCTCTTTGTCTTGATAAAACCCAACAGGACATTTCTTACACTCCATACTATCTTCCTTGTCAAAATAACTTCCCAGGTCGCAAATATCTGTAAAAGTAAACAAAAAAGTAAATATCACAATATCAATGTTTTGAAAATGCCTGATTTTCTTTGTCATGCAAATACTGCCTTAAAGATTAGCAAATATGTCTTTCTTGTTTTTGGCATTTGTAGCCCTTTTTTTCAAGTGTGTAAATATTTGTAGAATGCAATGCAAAACTCATTTTTATTTCAAACCTTTTTTTTTACAAAACAGATTGCCTTTTGAATTCATAATTTACAAATGATGTTTGTTTGAGGTTAAATTGCTTTTGATTGGCTAGATATTACCAGATATGGTGCAAAGCCATGAACAACTTGTTTCTTACAATAGACCATAAGACTTTACTTTTTGAGCTACATGCGACACAAGTTGAAAACTGCACATTTTTACTAAGTCAAGGGCCACAGAATAAATGCACAAACGAAACCCCTTGTGCACTGATCCACATGAGTATGAGCAACATTTCTGTAAAGCTTCATGACTCTAGGTCAAATACCTTTTGAGCTATGTGCGACACAAGTTGGAAATTGCAAATTTTTCTAAGTCAAGGGCAATAACTCTATAAATGCTCAATAAATCCACACAAAAATACCCAATTGCACAACTACCCATGCTGAGCAATATTCTTGTAAAGTTTCATGACTCTATATCAAATTCTTTATGAGCTATGTGCGACACAAAATGAGATGGAAGGCTGGAAGGAAGTCTGGCCAAAAAGGAATAAAGGGCCATTTCTTTCGTTATTTTCTTTCGTTTCTTAGAGGGCCAATGGCTCCTTACTCTATTGTTACGGAATGAACTCTATTGTTCCCTTTTATTCTGTTTACAGGTAGATGCCCCCAATCCCTATTTGGTAGTGCAGACATACTTATGAAATGGTATTTATGTGACTTTTCCTTTGATCTTTTAAGCCAATTCTAGTCAAACAAGGCTTTCAAAAGGACACACAAGTAAAACCGGAATGAATAAGATCAAAAAGAATTTACTGTTACCCATTGTCCTCCAATTTACACAAGTACCTCTGGGTTGTGCAGATGTACAAATGGAGGGACAAATTGACAAGGGTAAATCTAAATAACTCCCCTATAGTAGGGAGACACAAATAATTTGATAAAAACACAAACAAGGTCATAGCTAACATCTATAAAATAGTCTACTCATTGAAAACATCTGTTAAATTTAACTTACCCATTTTACAATCAGACACATCTTTGGCATGTTCATTCAAAAAAGTTGTCTTATTGTTAGGACATTTTTGACAATCATCGAAAGTCAGACTTCGCCAGTAGCCCCGTGGACACAATTCACACTGACTGTCTTCATCACTTCGTGCCTCTCCTGCTGGGCAGTCCACTGTAATATTATTGTTCTTATCTGATAAATCAATCCAGTTTTCAACAGAATTTTTCTCTGTTTGAAATTAATGAGAAATAGGTGATTCATGGGAACAAGGTGATTCATACCCCACCAGGAACTTTTGAAAAATAAGTGGTCTGAACCAATATTTGAACTCTACCTGCATTGTATAATTTATGGTGTTTAATCTGTCTATCAATAATTATAACAATAAATAGCCTATTTTCCAGAAACCATTTTTCTATTTTTAATAACAGTGAACTTGACCTTGACCCCATCCCAACTAGGGTCTTTATAAAAGCTTTCTGTATTCAAAACTTGCTGTATGCAAAATTTGATTGCTATATCTCATTCCTATATCTAGTTATTTCTTGAAACTATTTTTCTATTTTTAGTAATGGTGACATTGACCTTAAACTGAGGGGATCAAAATGCAATACTAACCTGGATATTCACATAAGTTTGCTACAAACCAAGTTTAATTACAATATCTCATTTCTAACTCTAGTTATTGTAAAGAAACTGTTTTCCTATTTTCAAAAAACCAGTGACATTGACCTTATTCCCAGGGGGGTCCAAAAAGCAATCCCAACCTGGGTCTTCATATAAGCTTGCTATATACAGTGTTCGAAATTAGCACTAGTCCTATAGCCCCTGGGCCCTGACTACTAAATTTCTCCTTGGGCTACCAACTTTTCAAAGTAACAAGCCTTGCCAGACTACTGTACTTTCAGAGGCAATATAAACAACTGTTTTGAACAAATGAATCGTGCTAGTGAAATGTCTTTTGGGCTATTGAATATTCCGATCTGGTAGTCTGACCAGCCTAGTGGTTTCAAATCCGAATTTCTTACACTGTATATACCAAGTTTGATTACAATATCTCATTCCTAATCTAGTTATCATCCAAAAAACATTTTTTCCTATTTCTAGTAACAGTGACCTTGACCTCAGGGGGTCCAAAAGCAATCCCAACAGGATTTTTCTCATAAGCAAGCAATCCATAAATCCCCTACCGGTTAAAACCCCATCAACATTCTGAAGGGCCATTGGCCATTCACTTATGTTTCAATTTTTCTATATACTAAGTAAATTTGTTGGAAAAGTTTTTTTAAAAATGATCACAGGAAACAGTTTTTATGAACAGACAGACAGACAGACTTAATGACACTCTGAAGTTAATATTTTAAACATCCATGTTACCAAAATATAACATTTTTAAAAGCAAAATTCTTAAAGAGGAGATAACTCTTGAATTAAAGATGCAATTTTATAAAAATTTTCAGCTCTTTTTGACTAATCACAAATATTGTTGTATTGTTGTTTTATGCCTATTTTTTGCCAAGGCAACCAATATTTTTTCAAAATAGGTAGAAAAGATAAGACATGCATAATCTCCAGACTGCCATCTAGCCATATGTCAAGTTTCATATAAATATTTCCAGTACTTTTTGAGTTAACACTGGATTCAGTTTATGTGTAATATTTGCCATATTTTCAGTCTATGTGTTGCCATAGCAACCAGAATTTTCAACATAGGAAGAAAAGAAAAAGACGTGCATAATTTCCAGACTGCCATCTACCCATCTTACAAGTTTCATAAAATATTTCTATTATTTTTTGCGTTAACACTGGATCCAGTTTATGTGTAAAATTTGCCATATTTTCTGTCTATGTGTGGCCATAGCAACCAGAATTTTCAACATAGGAAGAAAAGAAAAAGACATGCATAATTTCCAGACTGCCATCTACCCATATTACAAGTTTCATAAAAATATTTCTATTACTTTTTGCATTATCACTGGATCCAGTTTATGTGTAAAATTTGCCATATTTTCAGCCAATTTGTTGCCATAGCAACCAGAATTTTCAACATAGGAAGAAAAGAAAAAGACATGCATAATCTCCACACTGCCATCTATCCATATATCAAGTTTCATAAAAATATTTTCAGTACTTTTCAAGTTATCGCGGGACCCAGTTTTGTGGACGGACTGACAAACAGATGGACAGATGGATAGACAGACAGACGGACAGATGGTAAACCTAAAGTCCCCTCCGGTAAACCGGTAGGGGACTAAAGACTGACAGAGGGTAAACCTAAAGTCCCCTCCGGTAAACCGGTAGGGGACTAATTACAATAACTTATTCCAAACCCATATTATCACCTAGAAATGACTTCCTTTGTGGGAGTATAATGAAATTACACATTTGAAAACATTTACTTTGAAATATGATGTGTTTTTTAAACCAAAATACTGAAAGAATAAATGTTAGTAATATGCAAGAGCTTACAATAGGAGAGTGTGCTTCACTATTCTAAGATCTGTGTTGTGAAACAAGAGCATGAATAATGAAGAGTTATTTAAGTATAAAAAGGCAATAACTCTTTTAAAATCTTTGGTAGAGTTATGGGTCTTGGACAGTTACATCCTGTGTGAAAATTCAACGCATTACCTTCAGTAGTTTGGAGAATACCAACTAATACACAAAACTTATGCAGTTTACAATGACAATACCAACACAAGGGTGAGTACAATACCAAAATCAAATACTTTAATTTATCATAATTGGACATCAAATTTAGTCACAAGAACATAAAAAAAATATCATATGCAATTTGAATGTGAAAAAGAACAACTCAAAGTTGATGCAGATAACTTACCTTTACAATCATTTTCACTGTCCGATCCTTCACCTACAGTTTTGTACTCATTTTTACAGGGTACACAAAAATTCTTGCCTTCCTCATGCTGATAAAAATGTCTTCTGCAAGCAACACACTTCTCTTCAGCCTTGTCATAATATTGACCTGCTGGACATTTCACTAGAAAAGAAATAAATGCTTTTCTGTTACACTTTACTGGATTTCTCAAAATTGTTTTTTGTTACACTTTAATATTTTTGTTACACTTTACTGGATTGTTAAATGAAGTTTTCCTGTTTAAAACTTGGTTGATAATGAAACAATAAAATAAACTTTAAACTATACAGAATTAAGTGAAATGATTGGGTCATCCTGACTATTGTAGGACAAAAGCCCTCCCGGACAAAAGCCCTCTCGTCAAAACCTGACAAGGCGGACAAAAGCCCTCCAGTGAAAATGACACGGCAGACAAAAGTCCTCCTGTAAAAAAGACATGGTGAACAAATGCCCTCCCACATAAAAATGATTACTCCTATGTGAAGTAAAGATGAATAGGGTAATAAATGATGAAAAGAAGCTAAAATTATTTAACTTAAAAGTTAAAGACATTTATAATGTGCGTTGTAATGAGTCAATAACTTTTAAAAGTGACTTTGTTTTTAACAACATTAGTGTAAAAAGTTACCTCGCTAAACATTTCAGGAAAGTATTTTCAGAATAAAAGGTGGTTTTAGCTCATACACATACTTAGGCCAATTGATTATGTCCCCCTTGTTAATTTCTCATGACGGCTTTTGTCCGCCCAGTCATTTTCATGGGACTGCTTTTGTCAGCCCTCTTTTTTTCATGGGAGGGCTTTTGTCCACCTTGTCATATTTTGACAGGAGGACTCTTTTTTCTGGGAGGGCTTTTGTCCATTTCCTCATCCTGACACCAAGGCTCTTTGAAGAGCAAGTATGAGGAATGGAAGGGTTGACCAGCCAACAAGGCTCTAGACTAAGTTATTTATGAGAAAGGAATGAGCTGACATGTCATGGAGGCTCTTACAAAGTAAGTTATAAGGAACAGGCTGACAAGTTACCACAACTCTTTGAAGAGTTCCACCCACGTTCTATACAAAGTCATGTCACAAGGAATTACTAGGCTGCCCAGCCAACAAGGCTCTTTACAGATAATTTATGAGGAGTTGATAGGCTGCCAAGCCAACCAGGCCCTTATACAGTATGAGGAATTTGACAGTTGGTGATATCTCATATGGTTTATATATTCATTATCCCTCATGTACAGACTCAATCAAACTGAGTCTGCAATTCTCCTGAAATTTTGTTGTGATTTATGCTTCCGGGGGATCACTTTGTTTCCAGATTTTTATATAATGTTTCCATTTCTTTTAAGGATTCTTCATAGCTAAACCATACCCTGGTTGCTGATTTTCTTTCATATATAGATCAGGCATCATCTTTCATAATGATTAATGCAAAATAACTTTATTCCAGTTGATCATTTAAATTCTAATTTATTAGATATTCACAAACCTTTGCATTCATTTACATCTTTGGCACCTCTGCGGTATGTAACTTTTTCATCTGGGCATTTATCACACATTGTCTGGGCTTCATTCACTTGGTAGTGATCATAATCACATGGCATACACTCTCCATTATTCAGATAGTAGCCAGCAGAACATGGAACTAAAATGTATAATATGTTGTTGTTTTTATAAACATATTACAAGCGCTCCTACTATTTCACTAAATACAGCATACTTGCATATGAATATTAGCGAAGAGGTTTTCAGTTTGAGGGTCATATTACTGGTATTCATTCAGGGTCAGTCTTATTACTGTTATATCTGTCTCTGAAGAGTTTTAATATACATGTTTTCAATGCACATGTTGACAGATTTGTAATATTAAATTAATTCATGCTGCTGCAAATCAATGTTCATTTATTGATATAATTATTGATATGATGTTTCATGTACATATTTACATTGACTAAATGTTGATTGTGATTGTAATATACATATTGTACATATGAATTTTATGATTAAATGACAATGATCATTCATATATTGAAGGCTTATATGTAACAACACAAGAAGTGCTTTTAAGAAATAAAACAAAATCTCCGAATATATCTCCACTACATTGTCTGTAGTATATCCAAGGCATTTGATGTGGGAATAGGTGTGAATATATATATAAAATTACAGATACTTAAAATGTGTCTATAAGACATAGCCCTGACACCTCACATTTTACAGTTTCCAGACAGTATGAATGGAGTACGGAAAGACAAAGGCAATATTACATACCACATAAAGGTGAATCGCCTGTCATATCGATCCAGTTTCCTGTTGGACATTCTAGTACTTTTCCGATGACAACAGTATCTACTTGTAAAACAGCACCAGATACAGTCTAAAATAAAACAATTGTCAAACTTCATGTATTTCAAGCAATACAAAAGTACCCTACTGGTTAGAACACCAGCAACATTCTGTATGGCCATGGTCATTCCATTATGCCACTGTGAAAGACGATGTATGCACTTAAATCTTTTGGGTTATTAGTTTATCTTTACCATAATAATGTGTTAAGTTTCCATGCCGGATAAGTAAACTATAATGTTTATACAACAGATTATTAAAAAAATCCAATTTTCTTTGGTACAGTACGCTCAGCGCGGCTTTTGCAAAACCCGCGTGTCCCAGCGGACGTGACTCATCGCGGACAAAAATTTGCTCAAATATTGTCCGCGTGACAGAAAATTTTCACCACTGCGGACATAAATCTACAGCCGTAAGGGTTTCCCCCGCGGAACACTGTGGTTAATTGCGGGGGAACGCAGTAGTCAATCTCCGTGGACCGCGGTGATATTCATTAAGATACATTAAGAAATCAAAAAGTTATTAAAAAACTAGAAATGTGTCAATGTGTGCCACCACACTCCACTGTTTTATCAATCTTATGACTATAGGCCAAATATTTTTTGGGCTACATGTGCCACAAGTTGAAAACTAAAATCTTTTACTAAGTAAAGGGCAAGAACTTTACAAATACTGAATATATCCACAAGAGATCCCCAAGGTGCATAAGTACACATGCTGATCAACATTCTTGTAAACTTTCAGGCCTACAGGTCAAATACCATTTGAGGTATGCATGAACATGTTGAAAATTGCAAATTTATACTAAGTCAAGGGCAATAACTCTAAAAAAAATGAAAAGAATGCACATGCAAAATCCCAAGTGCATAGCTTCACAGTGATATTGATGATTATTCCTGCAAAGTGGATTGATTCTAACTCAAGCACTCAAGGAACAAATAACACAACATAATGACTCAGTTTTTACTAAGTCAAGGGCAATAACTCTACAAATACTGGATAAATCCACAAGCGAAATCCAAGATGCCCAACTACATATGCTGACCAACATTCCTGTAAAGTTTCATGACTTTAGGTTAAATACATTTTGAGGTTACACACAACACAAATTGAAAATTGCAAATTTTCACTTAGTCAAGGGCAATTACTCTGACAAAACATATTTATTCACAAGCGAAACCCCAGATGCAAAACTTCACATGCTGATCAACATTCCTGTAAAGTTTTATGACGCAAGGGCAATAACTCTATAAATACTACAGAAATCTAAACGAAAAATACCTAGGTGCACAACTACACATACCAATCAACATTCCTGTCAAGTTTCATGACCCTAAGTCAAATACTTATTGAGTTACGTGCGGTAGAAGTTGAAAATTGAAATTTTTTTATTAAGTCAAGGGCAATAACACTAAAAATTCACACAAAAATACCCAGGTTCACAACTTCACATGCTGAGCAACATTCCTGTAAGGTTTTATGACTCTAAGTCAAATACTTTTTGAGTTAAATAGGACACAAGTTGAAAATTGTAAATTTTTACTAAGTCAAAGCAATTTTACTATTCTATATCTATTCTATTTCTATATCCCCTGCCGCCTTTTCGGCAGGGGATAATAACATAAATCACCTGTTACAGTGTAAAATAACATAACACACCTGTTACAGTATAAAATAACATAACACACCTGTTACAGTCTAAAATAACGTAAATCAAAATGTGTGTAATGTAAACACTAAAATTGGTAAGGTTTAAAAATGGAAGACAAAGCAGAAATTGTTGACATGTTAGGGTCATCCAAGTTCAGTGTCTTTCAGTGTTAAGCTCAATATTGCTTTTTTAAGTATTCCCGATAGAAAAATTAATATAAACATTATATTAAGTCTGACTAATAGGATCAAAATTAATCGAATCACAAAGCAATAATTGAGAATTAATTTGAAACCAGAGAAAGCTGAATCGTTGTGTCTCTAACTTAAAAGTGTTTTACCTTTATATCTATAAGTTGCTCATTACGGATGATAATTTTTAGTGCATCTTCAATATCCACTATACCACCTCCTGTTGCTTGTAAAGTTGTACTGTAATAATCAGAAGATAATTACAAAATAAAATTCTTCAAACTGCAATAAATTCATTCCAAAATACTAATTTTAAAACTTGAATAAAATAATCATACATAATTCAAATAAATTCATACTGAAATACTGTTTACGAAACTTGAATAAAATAATAATAAAAAAATTCAGATAAATTCATACTGAAGTACTACTTGGAAAACTTGAATAAAATAATTATAGAATATTCAGATAAGTTCAGAATGAAATGTACATAAGATGATCATACTGAAATGTACATGAATTTATACTAAAATATTCATACTTAATACTAAAATAATCATAATTTTACTGACAGACAGATGAGACCATACTGAAATACTATATACATTCATTATGAAATATCCATTACTTGAGACTAAAAAAAAATTAAGATTAAACTGAAATAAAAAAAGATTATAAATAGTTCACACTGAAATAATTTTCATACTAAAATAGACATAATGACAAAGAAATGTTTGTTTTGACACACATTGATACTTGGAACAACAAACTGATATAAAAATACAGTTACATTACAATATATACCGTTCAAAGAAATATGCTTTATTTGAAATGTTAGAAATTATGTCTAAAATACAAATACTGAAATAATCTCTAACATCGTTATTTGACTGTAAGAATATGTCAGCTAAACAGAGTGGTCAGACAACATATCTATAACTAGAAGATTTACATTACATGAATCTTATCTCATTTATATTTTGTTTTTCTATATTGATATTTCTTGAACTGGCAAAATATATAATCAAAAAGCCTTTCTTGCAAAATAGTTCAAAACGAAAAACAACAATCTATAATATAGAAATGGCATGTCAGTGTTAATGAAATTTTTCGCTATAATAAAACTTAAAATAAACATACCTAGTTAACACTAGAGAAAACTCCACAACAACGTTAAAAACATCATTTGTGTCACACTTATAGGTAATGTCCTTCAAATTAGTGCAAGTGTTGTCATCACAAATGTCAATCCATTTTGGTCTGATATCATCCGTAAAGCTATCTCTTACTCTATCATCAATGATGTCAAGAATACTTTCTCGAGTTTTAGAACATTCTGTCTCTAATTTATACTTCATAGAAGCTACCAGCTTATATTTCACAGCTGATGTGTCTACAACAAAAGTTAATTATTATGAAATATATATGGGTATTTAGAAAATTTGGCATTCTATATGCACGTTTGATAACAGTAGATGTTAAATCTATTGCTGATATATGAAAACACTATTGTTGCTATATTTCATTCAATCAGTCAACAAAATCATAATTCCTTTGTTTATAATACCTATCGTTTTTCTTTACATGGGCTTACACAATGAGGATTCAGATGCACATTAAAAAATAAACACAGCATTAGAAATAGACATATATTTAAACTCTATGATCTAGTATTATAAATCATAGTACAACACTTTCAGAAAAAGTGTCAGGACTGCAAGCGTACCAGGATTTGTACGGTCACCACTTTTATTCTACACTGATTTTTGCTGTGTTTTTTTTTACTTTAAAATCCCCTATCTAAAGTTCTAACTTTAAAGCAGAACAAGTCCATTTCACAAATATGTTATAGAAATTGTAATAATATGGTAACACATGAAATAACCTGTCATAAAAAATCAACATGGAATAACCTGTCATGTGAAATCAATCTGGAAAAATCTGTCATGTGAAACCAACATGGAATAACTTGTCATGTGAAATCAACATGGAATAACTTGTCATGTGAAATCAACATGGAATAACTTGTCATGTGAAATCAACATGGAATAACTTGTCATGTGAAATCAACATGGAATAACTTGTCATGTGAAATCAACATGGAGTAACTTGTCATGTGAAATCAACATGGAATAACTTGTCATGTGAAATCAAACATGGAATAACTTGTCATGTGAAATCAACATGGAATAACTTGTCATGTGAAATCAACATGGAATAACTTGTCATGTGAAATCAACATGGAATAACTTGTCATGTGAAATCAACATGGAGTAACTTGTCATGTGAAATCAACATGGAATAACTTGTCATGTGAAATCAACATGGAGTAACTTGTCATGTGAAATCAACATGGAGTAACTTGCCATGTGAAATCAAACATGGAATAACTTGTCATGTGAAATCAACATTGAGTAACTTGTCATGTGAAACCAACATGGAATAACTTGTCATGTAAAATCAAACATGGAGTAACTTGTCATGTGAAATCAACATGGAATAACTTGTCATGTGAAATCAACATGGAGTAACTTGTCATGTGAAATCAACATGGAATAACTTGTCATGTGAAATCAACATGGAGTAACTTGTCATGTGAAATCAACATGGAGTAACTTGTCATGTGAAATCAACATGGAGTAACTTGTCATGTGAAATCAAACATGGAATAAATTGTCATGTGAAATCAAACATGGAATAACTTGTCATGTAAAATCAACATGGAATAACTTGTCATGAGAAATCAACATGGAGTAACTTGTCATGTGAAAACAACATGGAATAACTTGTCATGTGAAATCAACATGGAGTAACTTGTCTTGTGAAATCAACATGGAGTAACTTGTCATGTGAAATCAACATGGAATAACTTGTCATGTGAAATCAACATGGAGTAACTTGTCTTGTGAAATCAACATAGAGTAACTTGTCATGTGAAATCAACATGGAATAACTTGTCATGTGAAACCAACATGGAGTAACTTGTCATGTGAAATCAAACATGGAATAACTTGTCATGTGAAATCAAACATGGAATAACTTGTCTTGTGAAATCCACATGGAGTAACTTGTCATGTGAAATCAACATGGAGTAACTTGTCTTGTGAAATCAACATGGAATAACTTGTCTTGTGAAATCAACATGGAGTAACTTGTCATGTGAAATCAACATGGAATAACTTGTCATGTGAAATCAACATGGAATAACTTGTCTTGTGAAATCAACATGGAGTAACTTGTCATGTGAAATCAACATGGAGTAACTTGTCATGTGAAATCAAACATGGAATAACTTGTCTTGTGAAATCAACATGGAATAACTTGTCTTGTGAAATCAATATGGAATAACTTGTCATGTGAAATCAACATGGAATAACTTGTCATGTGATGTGAAATCAACATGGAGTAACTTGTCATGTGAAATCAACATGGAGTAACTTGTCATGTGAAATCAACATGGAATAACTTGTCTTGTGAAATCCACATGGAGTAACTTGTCATGTGAAATCAACATGGAATAACTTGTCATGTGAAATCAACATGGAATAACTTGTCTTGTGAAATCAACATGGAATAACTTGTCTTGTGAAATCCACATGGAGTAACTTGTCATGTGAAATCAACATGGAATAACTTGTCTTGTGAAATCAAACATGGAATAACTTGTTGTGTGAAATCAACATGGAATAACTTGTCTTGTGAAATCCACATGGAGTAACTTGTCATGTGAAATCAACATGGAATAACTTGTCTTGTGAAATCAAACATGGAATAAATTGTCATGTGAAATCAACATGGAATAACTTGTCATGTGAAATCCACATGGAGTAACTTGTCATGTGAAATCAACATGGAATAACTTGTCTTGTGAAATCAACATGGAATAACTTGTCTTGTGAAATCCACATGGAGTAACTTGTCATGTGAAATCAACATGGAATAACTTGTCTTGTGAAATCAAACATGGAATAACTTGTCATGTGAAATCATGGAGTAACTTGTCATGTGAAATCAACATGGAGTAACTTGTCATGTGAAATCAACATGGAATAACTTGTCTTGTGAAATCAACATGGAGTAACTTGTCATGTGAAATCAACATGGAATAACTTGTCATGTGAAATCAACATGGAATAACTTGCCATGTGAAATCAAACATGGAATAACTTGTCTTGTGAAATCAACATGGAGTAACTTGTCATGTGAAATCAAACATGGAATAACTTGTCATGTGAAATCAACATGGAATAACTTGTCTTGTGAAATCAACATGGAGTAACTTGTCATGTGAAATCAACATGGAGTAACTTGTCATGTGAAATCAACATGGAATAACTTGTCATGTGAAATCAACATGGAATAACTTGTCTTGTGAAATCAACATGGAGTAACTTGTCTTGTGAAATCAACATGGAGTAACTTGTCATGTGAAATCAACATGGAATAACTTGTCTTGTGAAATCAACATGGAGTAACTTGTCTTGTGAAATCAACATGGAATAACTTGTCATGTGAAATCAACATGGAATAACTTGTCATGTGAAATCAACATGGAGTAACTTGCCATGTGAAATCAACATGCAATAACTTGTCATGTGAAATCATCAAGGAGTAACTTGCCATGTGAAATCAACATGGAGTATCTTGCCATGTGAAATCAATATGGAATAACTTGTCGTGTGAAATCAATATGGAATAACTTGTCATGTGAAATCAACATGGAATAAATTGTCTTGTGAAATCAACATGGAATAACTTGTCTTGTGAAATCAACATGGAGTAACTTGTCATGTGAAATCAACATGGAATAACTTGTCATGTGAAATCAACATGGAATAACTTGTCATGTGAAATCAACATGGAATAAATTGTCTTGTGAAATCAACATGGAATAACTTGTCTTGTGAAATCAACATGGAGTAACTTGTCATGTGAAATCAACATGGAATAACTTGTCATGTGAAATCAACATGGAATAACTTGTCATGTGAAATCAACATGGAATAACTTGTCATGTGAAATCAACATGGAATAAATTGTCTTGTGAAATCAACATGGAATAACTTGTCATGTGAAATCAACATGGAGTAACTTGTCATGTGAAATCAACATGGAATAACTTGTCTTGTGAAATCAACATGGAATAACTTGTAGTGTGAAATCAACATGGAATAACTTGTCTTGTGAAATCAATATGGAATAACTTGTCATGTGAAATCAACATGGAGTAACTTGTCATGTGAAATCAACATGGAGTAACTTGTCATGTGAAATCAACATGGAGTAACTTGTCATGTGAAATCAACATGGAATAACTTGTAGTGTGAAATCAACATGGAGTAACTTGTCATGTGAAATCAACATGGAATAACTTGTCTTGTGAAATCAACATGGAATAACTTGTCATGTGAAATCAACATGGAGTAACTTGTCATGTGAAATCAACATGGAGTAACTTGTCATGTGAAATCAACATGGAATAACTTGTCTTGTGAAATCAACATGGAGTAACTTGTCATGTGAAATCAACATGGAATAACTTGTCATGTGAAATCAAACATGGAATAAATTGTCATGTGAAATCAACATGGAATAACTTGTCATGTGAAATCAACATGGAATAACTTGTCATGTGAAATCAACATGGAATAACTTGTCTTGTGAAATCAAACATGGAATAAATTGTCATGTGAAATCAAACATGGAATAAATTGTCATGTGAAATCAACATGGAATAACTTGTCATGTGAAATCAACATGGAATAACTTGTCATGTGAAATCAACATGGAGTAACTTGTCATGTGAAATCAACATGGAATAACTTGTCATGTGAAATCAACATGGAATAACTTGTCATGTGAAATCAAACATGGAATAAATTGTCATGTGAAATCAACATGGAATAACTTGTCTTGTGAAATCAACATGGAGTAACTTGTCTTGTGAAATCAACATGGAGTAACTTGTCATGTGAAATCAACATGGAATAACTTGTCATGTGAAATCAACATGGAATAACTTGTCTTGTGAAATCAACATGGAGTAACTTGTCATGTGAAATCAACATGGAATAACTTGTCATGTGAAATCAACATGGAGTAACTTGTCATGTGAAATCAACATGGAATAACTTGTCATGTGAAATCAAACATGGAGTAACTTGTCATGTGAAATCAACATGGAATAACTTGTCATGTGAAATCAACATGGAGTAACTTGTCATGTGAAATCAACATGGAGTAACTTGTCATGTGAAATCAACATGGAATAACTTGTCATGTGAAATCAACATGGAATAACTTGTCATGTGAAATCAAACATGGAATAAATTGTCATGTGAAATCAACATGGAATAACTTGTCATGTGAAATCAACATGGAGTAACTTGTCATGTGAAATCAACATGGAATAACTTGTCATGTGAAATCAACATGGAATAACTTGTCATGTGAAATCAACATGGAATAACTTGTCATGTGAAATCAACATGGAGTAACTTGCCATGTGAAATCAACATGGAATAACTTGTCATGTGAAATCATCAAGGAGTAACTTGCCATGTGAAATCAACATGGAGTATCTTGCCATGTGAAATCAATATGGAATAACTTGTCGTGTGAAATCAACATGGAATATCTTGTTTGTTTGTTTGTTTCACTTTACACCTTTTTCCAACAGTATTTCAGTCATATAGGCAGAACCTGGAATAACTTGTCATGTGAAATCAACATAGAGTAACTTGCCATTTGAAATAAAAGTATTTAAAGTACTAATGTAAGGTAGTTTGTATTTTGCAAGATTTTTTCTTAATATCACAGAATAATGTCTTATAGTTCTCTCTCAAAGAACATTTTTAGGGGAACAAATGTCATTAGGAAAACATGCCCATGGGAAAACAGGTCCACAGAAAAACAGGTCTGCATGAAGTAAGGCTAAACAGTTTAGTCCACTCCTCACACTTACTCTGTCAATATTACTACACTAATATATTTATCAATGTGATTAATTTGCTGCTGTAACTTTACAAAAGCTTTGTGTGCATTAAATATAATAAATACAGCAATACTTTAACATAATGTTTCTTGCATAGATTTAGATATTTGTTCCAGGGAAAATTAAAATTTGTCACCATGGTTACGTACCTACACATGCTGGATAATATGTTTCAGCATATGGCATCCTGTAATCATAAACACCAAGTGTTCCACATGTAATATAGTATGGTACAGGGGCTGCTAGAACTTTGGAGTCATCTATACATTTAACATCGCAATAACCACCAATATCAGCAGAACACTGTCTATAGCTCACAGTATCACTAAATAACTCATTTACTGCTGGACATGCACTGTTGTCTGAAATAAATATCAATACACATTTTTTTTATTCATAACATAACTTTTCTTAGTTTATTATAAAAATCCAGTTTATCACTGATTTGCCTTTCGATCAATCACCGCAATCATTGAAAACATATTCTAACATGCTTCATGCTATTCCATTATCAAACAGATAAGTGCAATCAAGTACATTGTTACACAATATATGCATACCATAAAAAAAGAATTCTTACAGTCATCATATTACATCAGAAATTACATCAATAAACTAAATGATGTCAGGAAAAGTACTTCTACACTCAATGTAGTTCAACATACCCTAAGTTATTCTCTTTTTTTCATTAGCATGTTAGAATGAACTCAGATAATAATTTTTCTTGCATTATAGCATAGTAATACATGCTTTATCATTCTAACACTTTGATATTAATCACTAAAAACTATCGGTCTTTGTGATTATATTCCTGCATATTTGAGCACTACAACAATGCACTCAAAATAATATTTATTTCCTAAATAACAAAATTAATATGAACTATATGTAACATATGAGCAGGGTTCCATCCCTAATTTACTGATGAAATTTCACGAAGTACATTGTTTTAACTATTTTAATTCTTTAAACTATAAAGGATGTTTGGCTGCACCAAAATTGTTCTCATTCTTCATAAATGAATTAGCAGTCAAGATGAACAATGAAGATAGAATCAAAGGTAAACCGTTAATGCTAAATGAAATTTCAACACAGTTGCTAATGTTTGCTGATGATGTAGCTTTATTAGCCGAAACAGTTCAAGATTTACAATATCAACTCAGTATAATTACTTACATCGAATGATAAGTTTTCCTGAACATTGTCCATAATTTTCTGTATCTTTATCCTTGCCAATGATTATCAGAGGATAAGCTCCCCATGTAATTGCTACAATAGAAAATAAAATTCATAAATATTTTCAAAAGTAATATATGAAAAGTTTTAAAATAACTTTATCTATTTTGTTTTGAAAAAATTAATATTTTGATATTTTAGTTTGTCAAATATCCTGCAGCATCCAATCAATTTACTTTTCTTCAGTAAAATATTAAGGTCAACTTGAAGGTGTTGATTTGAACAAATCTTGAAGAATGTATTTCACTAAATTATTTCTGAACTAAACAGTTTTTTAAAAATTTAAAGAAAACTCCTAAAACATTTCAGAAAATATATTCTTGTATAACAAATGTTACACACCTGCTGCAGACATTTTCACCAAAAAAAATCTTACGTTTATCTTAAGTTTTTGACTAACAATACTCATAAGTCATTTCCACAAAGTCACTCATAAGTTAAAATTTTATCTGAAAAAAACATCCCTAGCAACATTCATTTGATATTGATGTGCATGCTCTATATTTGGTTCCAGTTTTAAAATCAAGTAGCAAAGAGCTTGTAATATGTCGTGAACACAATCAAGTTAATTACAATAAGAAGGAAAAAATGATTAAAACTGATTTTTATCTTGATTGAAAATAATCATATGGATCTAAGTGAAGCAAGGTCTGCTACATTATTGCTAAATAAATAAAAAGGTGCCACTAGTACATGCTGCCCACCAAATTGTACAAAATGTTAGTTTTCAAAAATTCATCAAGTGCTGACGTCACAAATTTTAATGTTGAAAAATAATTTTTACTTAATTTGTGTTATTTATAACAAAGTGTTTGCTTAATATATATTGTCCTTCTATTTTTTCTTTGTTTTCATTCTGCTTAGAAAGATGATATTTTCCTTGTAAGAGAAAAAAAAATACACTTATTAAGGAGGAACATTTCATTTTAATGAAAATGGCTACTGTTCCTTTTAAAGTTTGAATCCATGCCCTAAATGAAATCTTACATCTTTGAATAAATTTTTCCATAAGTTTTTTCTCCTTGGACTTCTGCTATTTAAAATTTTCTTAAATGATATATTTTATTTTATTAAGAAAGGTTCTGTTAATAAATATGCAGATGACGATACCCTCTTATCTAATCACAAATTAAATCTCTCGAGAGAACAATATAAGATGAAAGTGTTGTTATTGTTGCAGGAGTTATTTAAAGGTAACATACAATGAGGGATCCTAATAGCTTATCGAGAACACACATACATTTAATTGAATAAGCAATATTTGCTTATTTTCACAACAATCCTTTTTCAGGACTATTTACTTACTTGATTCAATTGTGTGCATGTATTCCAGGGTTGATCCGCTATTTTTTTTCACTTGCTCATAGACGTTAACTAAGTCAGATACTGTGCTCATTGACACTAGACGCTCAGTAGTAGCGTAATATATATCATCAACATCCTCACAATCCAAAGTTGGAACTTTTAAGTTTGGATTCTCTGATGACAAAGAAAACATGATTTATTAATAATTTATTTTATTAATCTCACAACTGGATTGTGTTGAGATGTTAATCATGGCATATTTTATATTTTGTAAATGTATACATATATGTGTGTTATTATTTTTATTACTTTTTTGTTTGTTTTTTATTTTGTTTTTTAAAGTCATAGTAAATGTATATAATTCCATTGTAAAGCGCCTTTGAACATTTTATTTTTTGAGAAGGGCGCTATAAAAATGTGGTAATTATTATTATTATTTACATTCTTCCAACAAGAAAATTGTTGTATCCTGTTTTGGCATAAAAGAGCAAGTTTAACATTTCAAGCCTGACTGACCAATGTTTGTAAGTATAGACATGATGTAATTCTGCAGTTAATTAACAATCAAAGTATATTTTCTACAATGCTTTGTACAAGTATGTTCTTCTTTGGAGATGATATTTAAAATAAAAAACTAAAACAGTTTGTTGCCTTATTGCTATAACTGAATAAGTCTTTCTAAATTTAATAGCAGTTAAATCATTTATTGCAATAAGGTAATGAAATAGGACTTACTTATAATATTGCTGTCCAGGTCTTTTTCACTCATTGATGTTGAAGGATAGAGGTTGTAATTTTGAAAACTCTGAACAGGAGGAATATCAGGCCTGTCCCCTCCAGTAGATGCCTTAGAAAACACACTAGTTTCAAAAAACTTATTGTAAACTTCAACATCTCTGTACTCAACAACATGGCCATATCCTAAATATATTTGTGCACTGAAAAAATTGAAGTAGGAATTTTCAAAAATTCTTGAAAACTTGAAACTTCTAGCAATCTAGAAATGAGACTTCTTAAAAAGGGAATTATTTTTTTTGACCTATAGAATTCAAATTACAAACCTAAGTAATATAAATAACTTACCTATATAAAATCATGCTTTTTTGTTTCTTTCTAAACTATCCAATATAATTTCAATTTCTCCCTAGATAATCTCAAATACCCCCCCCCCCCTAGAAAAATCTCAATTATAACTCTAGATAATCTCAATTACAACCCTAGATAATCTCACAAACAACCAAGTTATAGCCCTAGATAATCTCAATTAATCCCTAGATGATCTCAATTACAACCCTAGATAATCTCAATTACAACCCTAGATAATCTCAATTACAACCCTAGATAATCTCAATTGCAAATCTAGATAATCTCAATTACAATCCAAGATAATCTCAATTACAACCCTAGATAATCTCAATTACAAACCTATATAATCTTAATTGCAACTCTAGATAATCTCAATTACAATTCTAGATAATCTCAATAACAACCCTATATGATCTCAATAACAACCCTATATAATCTCAATTACAACCCAAGATAATCTCAATGCAACTCTAGATAATCTCAATAACAACTCTAGATAATCTCAATTACAACTCTAGATAATCTCAATTGCAACTCTAGATAATCTAAATTACAATCATCTCAATTACAATCCTAGATAATCTTAATTACAATCCTAGATAATCTCAATTACAACCCTAGATAATCTCAATAACAACCCTAGATGATCTCAATAACAACCCTAAATACTCTCAATTACAACCCTTGATAATCTCAATGCAACTCTAGATAATCTCAATTACAACTCTAGATAATCTTAATTACAACTCTAGATAATCTCAATTGCAACTCTAGATATCTCATTTACAATCATCTCAATTACAATCCTAGATAATCTCAATTACAATCCTAGATAATCTCGATTGCAACTCTAGATAACCTCAATTACAACTCTAGATAATCTCAATTACAACTCTAGATAATCTCAATTGCAACTCTAGATAATCTCAATTACAATCATCTCAATTACAATCCTAGATAATCTCAATTACAATCCTAGATAATCTCAATTGCAACTCTAGATAATCTCAATTACAACCCTAGATGATCTCAATTACAACCTTAGATAATCTCAATAACAATCCTAGATAATCTCAACCAACCCCTAGATAATCTGAAGTACAACCCTAGATGATCTCAATTACAACCCCAACTAATTGGGGTACATTCTTTTACAGTTATAGGCTGGAAAATAATGGCAAAATGTTGACAAATCTATTGTGACCGGTAGATAGTTCACTATGAAGCTATAATGGTATAACTTTGTAAGAGGGGATTAACATTGAAAAACCCACATTTGCTAAGTTCCGGATAATATCTATTTAATATGATCAAAATTTTTACCCAATTTAATGAAAATTAAACCCAAATTTGGTCCCAATGACAATTGAACATTATCCAAAACCATTTAAAGCTTAAAATAATCTGAATAATAAATGTAAATAATCTTAATAAATGAAATATGGAATGTCTTACTTGTAATCAAGTTGAAGGTTCCGGCCGGTGTCAACTGGTTCCTGGACATGTAGCGAATCTAATGATGCCGATAACATTCCGCTACTAGTCATTGAAATTCCAAGATGATGCCATTCTCCATCAAATAAAATATCTCCAAAAAGATCCTCCGTTACAAATGATATACCAACGGGTTCATCCAACCCGTATCTTACATAAATTCCAGCCACACTGACTGTTAGGCTAAAGTCATATATCAGATCTTCTGGTAGTGTCTTGTCCTCTGTCCTGTTATAACAAATGATACTGATGTTTTATCTCTACCTTTATATTTGCTGCTAATTCATATCTAACACTTTCAGTGAATGACATCTTAGAATGACAGTGTATGACACCAAAGTATGACAGTGAAAGACATAGAATGACAGTGTACAACATCATAGTATGACAGTGTATGACATCATAGAATGACAGTATACAACATCATAGAATGACAGTGTTTGACATCATAGTATGACAGTGTATGACATCATAGTATGACAGTCTATGACATCATAGTATGACAGTGTACAATATCGTAGTATGACTGTGTATGTCATCATAAAATGACAGTATACAACATCATAGAATGACAGTGTTTGACATCATAGTATGACAATGTACAAAATCATAGTATGAAAGTGTACAATATCGTAGTATGACAGTGTATGACATCTTAGTATGACAGTATACAACATCATAGAATGACAGTGTTTGACATCATAGTATGACAGTGTATGACATCATAGTATGACAGTGTATGACATCATAGTATGACAGTGTACAATATCGTAGTATGACTGTGTATGTCATCATAAAATGACAGTATACAACATCATAGAATGACAGTGTTTGACATCATAGTATGACAATGTACAAAATCATAGTATGAAAGTGTACAATATCATAGAATGACAGTGTATGACATCATAGAATGACAGTGTATGACATTGAAGTATGACAGTGTATGACAATGTAGAATGACAGTGTATGACATCAAAGAATGACAATATAAACCCAATAACATCCAGAACTATCTACCGCTCAGTCGTACTCCCAAAGGCCCTCTACGGTTGTGAGTTATGGAATGTTTACTCAGCATCAGACATTCGGACACTTGAATTGTCTCACCCCTTTTGTGTTAAGTTTATGCAAACATTTAAACGCCATACATCCACTGACTTTGCATTAAGTTCAATAAATATTGACAGTATTGAAGAAATTATAAACTACAGAAAGCTAAATTTCTTAGGCCAATTATGTCGTCTGCCTTGCCAATATTTGGCAAAACAAGTGTACATTACGCGACTGATAAAGTATTTGAACTTTGACAATCAGAGTCGTGGATTTATACCCGATGTATACAGACTATTGCAGAAATATAATCTTGAAAGTGTCCTTTACTCATATTTAGAAAGTGGCGTATTCCCTTCGAAATATGCATGGAAAGTTACTTTACGCTCAGCCATTACAAATACTGCAACCTACATGCGTGTTGACCGATTAATACTGTCAAGACGTGAGTTATGTGGAATAATCCAGTATTCATTGCCAGCGACACTGTGGTATGTATCAAGAAACAACCCTAAAACGGCGTATATGTGTTCTTTTTTAATGGAAACTATAGGTAGTTTCATGTCCCAGCCATATGTTGTAACATGTAGAAAATGCAACAGGCTTTGCGAAAATCAAATCGTACACTTGATATGCTTCTGTACGGTAAACAACAACAATATAATCAGATTGTGGGACTCAGTCATTGAGGAATGCGGAATGACAACATTTATAGACCTTCTTGCGTTGTCACCTGAGGAACAATGCTGGCAATGTTTCCGGCTAGCATCTGATAATGACAGTCTAACGTTCTGCAATTATAGAGTTGCGAAGTCTATTCATAATCTCTTAAAGGTCCGCACAAACTAGAAAAGATTGGTACCTGGAGGGTGAAATCTTATAGAGTTTCAGGTCTCTATAATGAACAAAAAGCCGGAATTAACTCGGTGTAATAAATACCTAATACAGGACTTGTAAAACTAACAAAATAGGAACCAACTCTAAATAGTGAATAGAATGACAGTGTATGACATTGTAGTATGACAGTGTATGACAATGTAGAATGACAGTGTATGACACCAAAGTATGACAGTGAAAGACATAGAATGACAGTGTATGACATCATAGTATTTCAGTGTATGACATCATAGCATGACAGTGTATGACATCATAGTATGACAATGTACAAAATCATAGTATGACAGTGTTTGATATCAAAGAATGATAGTGTATGACATTGTAGTATAACCGTGTATGACATTGTAGAATGACAGTGTATGACACCAAAGTATGACAGTGTACAACAGCATAATATGACAGTGTATGATGACATTGTTGTATGACAGTGTATGCCATCATAATATGACAGTGTATGGTATCATAGTATGACAGTGTTTGTTTGTTTCATTTTTACGCCTTTTCCCAACAGTATTTATGTCATATAGGCAGGTAGTTTCCTAACCATCATTCCTGGAAAGTTTAACCAGTCCTAGACTACCTTCCTCCGTGCTAAACTACCAAAGCATCTCCCGCAGCTCGAACCCATGCCAGAGAGGTAACTGGATTAGAAGTCATCGACTGTAACGCCTCGACCACGGAGGCAGTGTATGACAGTGTATGACATTGTAGTATGACAGTGTATGACATCGTAGAATGACAATGTATGATATCAAAGTATGACAGTGTATGACATCATAGTATGACAGTGTACAACATCATAGTATGACAGTGTACAACATCACAGTATGACAGTGTACAACATCATAGTATGACAGTGTACAACATCATAGTATGACAGTGTATGACATCATAGTATGACAGTTTATGAAACATTTACCTCCTTGTAAGTCATGTCATATTGATATAAAATTTTCAATCAAGATATGCAACATGATATACATGTATATTACATACATCATTTTATTAAGCTCATACTCAGGGTTCTGATAAAGACTGATGAGACCACAGCTAACTCACAATAAATATCTGTAATTTATGGCAACCATACACACAAAAAATTTTACACATGATTAGATTTTTTAGGTTATTTTTTGTACATATTTCATTCAACAGAAGTATGTCTGAAATCTTTTATAATGTGCATTCTGTAAATCAAATACTTTTTCCAGAAATTTGAAAGGTTTGGATATTGATAATTTCAAGATATTACACGTTTGTTTTCTTTTTAGTTTTGTTAAGAGGAAGGTTTTACACTTCACCAACACAGTAGAAGTAAATTGGTGACATTCCAGCTTTACTGGTGAAGGAAAATTAAGGTGTCCATTGGCACAAACAAATACCCCAGAAGAACCACTGACATTCTGTAAGGTAGCTGGATAGTTTCCTCACATCAAAGAATCTAAAGTATTTGGCACAAGCCCCCAGTGGTGAGGGACAGGTGATTTAAAATCGACATTTTTAGCCAATCAGACATGGACACCCCAAGATATTGCATGTGGTTGAAAAAATTTCAAATACTGGGTTCATCTTTTTGTTAATACAAAATGGCTGCTAATTTACGTTATATACTAACTAAAAACTGTCCGCTAAGTTACTATCTGGACAGCAGGTTAATGCCAGTCTGCTATTGCAATACCAGACTGTAGGCTAACACCACTATATTTCTTGAATACATTAATATGTCACATCCATAAATGTATTTATTTAAAATAAACTAGAACTGCCACTATCATGGCGTGAATACCCCCGCATACCACTTTGTCATAATCAACAGTGGCCATTAAGAGCTCAAGGAAAACCTCCCTGCCAAATCTGAGGTTACTAAGCCAGTGCATTGCTAAGTTATGTATTCTACATGCTTTAAATGTGAAAATGTCAAAATCAATACATTGCGGACAGGACATTCTTTAGCAATTGAGAAGAAAAGCTTTTTTCAAAGTCCCTGTGACCTTGACCTTTGACCCAGTGACCTCAAAATCAATAGGGGTCACCTTATAGTCATGATCAACATCCATGCCAAATAAGAAGACTGTGGGTCAAAGGAATCTTAAGTTAATGGGTGGACAAACCTTTTGAAGTCAAAGTCCCTATGACCTTGACTTTGATCCAGTGACCTCAAAATCAATAGGGGTCATCTACTAATCATGACTAACCTCCATGCCAAATATGAAGACTGTGGGTCAAAGGAATCTTAAGTTTTAGGGCGGACAAGCTTTTTGAAGTCAAGGCCCCTGTTACCTTGACCTTTGACCTGGTGACCTCAAAGTCAATAGGGGTCATCTACTAATCATGACTAACCTCCATGCCAAATATGAAGACTGTGGGTCAAAGGAATCTTAAGTTATTGGGCGGACAAGCTTTTTGAAGTCAAGGCCCCTGTGACCTTGACCTTTAACCTGGTGACCTCAAAGTCAATAGTGGTCATCTACTTATCATGACTAGCCTCCATGCCAAATATGAAGACTGTGGGTCAAAGGAATCTTAAGTTATTGGGCGGGCAAGCTTTTTGAAGTCAAGGCCCCTGTGACCTTGACCTTTGACCTGGTGACCTCAAAATCAATAGGGGTCATTTACTTATCATGACTAACCTCCATGCCAAAAAGGATGACTGTAGGTCAAAGGAATCTTAAGTTATTGGGCGGACAAGCTTTTTAAAGTCAAGGCCCCTGTGACCTTGACCTTTGACCTGGTGACCTCAAAATCAATAATGGTCATCTACTAATCATGACTAACCTCCATGCCAAATATGAAGACTGTAGGTCAAAGGAATCTTAAGTTATTGGGCGGACAAGAAAAAACCGACGGCCGGACGGACGGCCGGACGGATGGCCGGACGGATGGACAAGCTGATTCCAGTATACCCCCCTTACAACTTTGTTGTGCGGGGGTATAATGATAATTTATGTATGTCGGATGTTTGTTTTCAAAGTTTTTCTCAGTTTGATTTCAGATAAAAACAAAGACACAATATAGTGAATTACCATTTGACTAAATGTGAAAAATGCATAATAGTAAAACATACAAATTTAAAACAAAATAACATGTCAAATGAATGCAATTGTTAGAAATACAATTATGCAACAATGCAACAAATATCAACTATTACGCATGTATGGGAAGAGAAATAAAATGTGCCCAAAATAAATTTTATCCAGTAAATTGATAGAAATGACTCTTTTGAATTTTTGTCTCGAAAGCATGCCACTAGACCCTCCTATAAATATTCTTAGTTTGAATATGAGCTGGCTACAGGCTTAAAGAATCAATATATGAGCCAGGTCACGACAATACTAACATAGAGTGTTTGCCACCAGCATGGATCCAGACCTGCCTGCACATCCCCTCGGTCTGATCAGGATTCATGCTGTTCGCTTACCAACTCTTTTACAAGTAAAAAACTGATAGCAAACAACATGGATCCTGATCAGACTGCGCAGATGCACAGGTTGGTCTGGATCCATGCTTGTCGCAAACACACTATGTTGGTTTTGTCGTGACGTGGCTCATATATCATCATGATGATATAAATGATAAGAAAGTCCAACAGTAAATAACTTACGCAACTAAAGCAAACACAGTGCCTAGAGGAACTTCTGAGTTCACCATATGAACCCTGAGCCACATCATTACAGATAGCTCATCACTCTTCAAATGGAATAATGTCTGCAAGGTAGCTGGCATCTTGAGTCGATCTGCAGCATTTACCAACATTGTATATTCTGTTCTTGAATCTAGAATATACAAAATCTGTACATAAACAATAGGGAATTTACTTACTTTATCTCCTACAATCAATACAATTTTTATCTAATATCAAGGAAATGGTACAGGTAAAGATATTTGTACAGGTAAAGATAATGGTACAGATAAAGATGATTGTACAGGTAAAGATAATAGTACAGGTAAAGATAATGGTACAAGTAAAGATAATGGTACAAGTAAAGATAATGGTACAAGTAAAGATAATGGTACAGGTAAAGATTAAGGTACAGGTACAGATAATGGTACAGGTTAAAGATAATGTTACAGGTAAAGATAATGGTACAGGTTAAAGATAATGTTACATGTAAAGATTAATAGTACAGGTTAAGATAATTGTACAGGTAAAGATAATGGTACAAGTAAAGATAATGGTACAGGTTAAAGATAATGTTACAGGTAAAGATTAATAGTACAGGTTAAGATAATTGTACAGGTATAGATAATGGTACCGGTAAAGATTAAGGTACAGGTATAGTTAAATGTACAGGTAAAGCTGAACTTAAATTTTTCTAAAAAGATGTAAATGTACTGACTTTTACAAGATGTTCCTGTCCATGTTCTCCCTTCTGTACATAGACAATCATGTGTTGATAGTGATGTTGCCTGACAATCAGCTCTGTTAAGACATGGAGTGTTGGCACATGGATCAGCTACTATCTCACATGTAGCACCACTGTAACCTACAAATCAGTGGGTTTAAAGAATGGTACATTTTGATACTTTTAATAATCTAGTTGATATAGTTCTGTTTACAATTGAAACATGTAATTCTGTAATAATCTTTATCCCTAAACTTAATAAGATGCGAGAAATGCCTGATTGCTCAGATAACTTGTTCATTTAGAACACAAGTCTATCAGTGAATTATGATAGTTATTAAACCCTTTACAAGCTAAATGTCTTCAAATATACTCTTCCCTCTTTCAATGTGGACTGAACTATTTGTCTTTTATTATGAAAATTTCAAATATGTACCGAATGAGTCACAAACATTGCAGACCATGATCAGATGTCATAGATTGGCAAGCTGACTGATCTTGGTCTGCACTGGTAGCATTGGTAAAATCTGTTGTCACTTACAGTTATAGAATATATTAGTATCAGAGATTAACAATATATTTGGCATATCTCTTATTGAATTTAAAATAGCATATCACTGATCATTATTGTTTTTTTTTGTACACATTCAATACAATTTAGCTACCCTTCTATTGTGTTTAATCTGCTACCATCAGTTAGAACTGCTGAACAAGTACTTTCAGTGCTTTGATAATAATATAGATAATGAGGTTATTACCTGGCATACACTCGCATTCATACCCTACTGGATCTAACTGTTTACATCGTCCATCATTCTTACATGGGTTGTCAGTGCACCAATCTGTCACAATCTCACATGATTTACCTTTGTAATCTGAAATGAAAATAACATTAACAAAATAGAATTTCTACACTTAAGCAGATGTCACATTTTTGTTTTAATTCAACGTAAAGGTTTAGTTACTTACAAATATTGAAAACGTTAAAGTTCTAATTTAAGAATATTAATCCTTTGATTTAAGATGGACTAAGACATATAAGAGTTATATGAAAACTTTAATGAAGATATAAAGAATTGATTGGAAAACACTCTGTTGTTTTCATGCATGAGAAAGGGCCATGGAGTGCCTCATTTCACCATAAAAAATCCAGTTAGGTAGAACTATGGTGTTAGCCGAGAAATTTTACATGTACGAGGGTTGTTCGATATATAATGAGACTGTGTTAATATCTTTTAATTGTTACTTTCAATGGCTAAATACAATACATAATAACAAAGTTATTTCATTTCTAAATATAATCTGGAAATATTAAAGTAATCCATCAGTTTTAAAGTAACAGAATTTATAAGAAAGTCATGTTTGCACCATCGCCTCCGCACAACAATATGTTGCGACGTCAGCTACATCATTCGCGCAGATAACATAGCTATGATGTCTTATAACATTCATAGCTTTTCAATTTATGCTCCCGAATATATGCTTAAATCTTTCATCAGTATGAGATGCGTTAATAAGTTCCTATACTCTTGCATCAGCAATTTCGGCAAGCTCCCGCACCGTTTAACGCATATCAGTATCAAGCCCTGACTGAATTGTCGCGACCATTGACGCTTTCACAGACTTTTTTCTACTGGACCTATGTTCGTCATTCCAAGATGTGTGTCCCTCAGAAAACATCTTGTACCACCTAAACACTAACATACGACAAAAACTGTCTTTCCCTTTAGCCTCTTGCAACATTGTAAATGTTTCCATTGCCGATTTGTCTAAATGCAAGCAAAACTTAATGTTCGCCCACACTTCAAGTTGTTCTTGCGTCATAATCTTAACTTGACATTGTGTCAGGGTTACCGTGAACAAATGTTGATTACATCAACGTTTTACGACCAAATAACATCATTTTTTCACATGACATCACTGATATAATGTACAAACTATTGGCAGAGTTTTACGTTATTGCAAAAATTGTTTCTTACTTTACATTATATTATAAGTTACGTCTTAATAAGACGGAACAGAATGCCTTACTATGGTTATTGAAATGATCATAATTTCTATGTAGAGTTATATTTTTTCTACCAATGCCGGTAATCTGATCAAGAATAAATTATATTTAATAATGATACCACATTTTGTTATATTTCATGTTAGAAAAAAAAATATATGAGGACAGTCACATTATATATTGAACAGCCCACGTAGAAGTAAAATGCCCCTAAATAACATGATCAACCCACATTTATGATGTATAACTGATTTAAAGTCAGGGACATTAACTTCTTAGCTTTAAAAGAACATTTACTATTGGTCTATACAAAATCCGTAATAATTTCAAAATTACTATTTGCATGTTATCCAATGCTTACCTTCTGGACAGTTTCTTCTGTAGTGTGTAGAACCACTTACTGTACCTATTTTTTCTTCACCAACTGTATAGAACTGACAAAACTTGGAAGAACCAGATTCCGAGTATGACACGGCCGTGCATTCATTGTTGTTTAAACACAAAGTCTTACATTCATCAGCAGAATTTACAAGTTTGGTTGAAATTTTAGGATTAACCAACTGTCCACCACCTGTCTCATCTATTCCTTCCTCCATATAACATCTGTCCTTGTCATACACTAGCATTAACAATAAATAAAATCTTGTTTATTTCATATAATTGTAGGTGAAAACCTGAAATACATGTATACAGGAATAAAAATAACAAGAAAATAGTGGTACTAAAGCTATTGTATAAACTTTCATTTCAATAAAATCTGACATTTTAATGATCAATGTCAAGGAGTTTTAACCTGATTTTTTGGGGATGCCTTGCTTTAAATTTTCAAAAAAGTCCAATTACTGATATGTTCTATGTATAAAATGGACAAACACAAGTTCTATGCTAAGGAAGCTCATATCATATCAATATCTGAGCATGTTCTACCTATATTGATATATTGCACAATCACAAGTTCTTTTATTCTATCATCTATGCATAAGTTCTCCTGAAGGTATGTCTGTTATGTTCCCGGACGCCAGTTCTTACTTTTTATTTGTTAAGTTATAAATATGAAATTCAAATAATTACATGAAAGGCAAGTTTTGTCTTAAAATATATTTTAAATGCCATTTGAAGTTCACGAGATATGGTTTCTATAGCAACCCCTGTATGTAAAACACGGCCCCAAGTCTATATCCATTTCAAATCACTTAGGTTCATAATACTGTAACGACGGAAAAACGTCATGAAATTTGCAGGAAACATTACAGTGAAGTTCAGCAACAATTTGACGTCATTTTTGGAATTATTTAAGATTTAGCTGACATAATAACAACCTTAAAATGGCACAGAGCTTTTACTGACCATGGATTGAGATATAATCGAAAAATCTTGAGTTATTATTGAGTACATGTACTTTCAAAGTATTAATGCAAAACCAAAAGAAACTAGAAGAATGCTTGATAAATCATTCAGAGAAAAGATATTGTCGTGTACAGTCTGGTATGAATGGTATAAAAGATTCAGAAAGGGCCGCACATCTACTGCAGATGATCAGAGGTCTGGAAGCCCGAGCATCTCTTGTGACGAGATTTAAGAAATACTTGATGACGAGTGTCAAATGCCAGTGCGAGTGTGACATCAGTTAAACAATAATACACAATATAATTACTGAAAATATGTCAATGACCAAAGTATGCGCTAGATGGGTACCAAAACTGTTACAAGATGGGCAGATGTAAACTTGTATTGGAGCAGAAGTACGATATTTTGAGAAAGAGTCAATGTCAATGTCTTCATCTGCAAAATGTCGTTGTCACGCAGGCCGATGTGAGGATGATGTATATTTATATCGTTTTATAATTTTGTACATAATAAATAGAATTTGATAAAATTGCGCATTTATAGAAGAACTATGGAAGGAAATTGTGCAGTTTGTTTTCTTTTTGAAATCTATCAACATTTTTTTATTCAAATGAACAATCGTCGGACCTCATACATGCCAAAAATGTATCGTTTCTTTCAGAGCAAATTTAACTTACCTACAGGGCATACACATGTTGCTGTACCCTGTGCATTTATACACATACACCATTATTTATACAAGCATCTGTGTTTGAAAGTGTTTTACACAAGAGGGTGGCACTTTCACATTTATCTCCTGTAGCTCCACCTTCACATCTACAGGCAAAATAGAAAATAATTGTTAAAAGCACTTTAAATATTTTACATCAACATTAAAAAAAATAAAAAATTGTGAAAATATTTTTTAAAATTTAGCACATTTTTGAAGAATTTTGAAGTGCAAACTTGATAAATTTCACTTGTAATTAAAAATATACAATAGCATAAAGATAAAACAATTTTTTTTAGTTTGATTGTGATGAATACTTGAAGTTTATTTGATTAAACCCTTTAAGTCAATTTCATGAAAATACAGGTAACTATATAACTATTAATTTTATACATACAGGAAACTAAAAACTGTAACTTTTATAAATATAAGTAATTTAACACTTCAACTTTCATATATGCCGGAAACTAAAACTGCAACTTTTATACAACTATTACTTGTATTCAAACAGGAAACTAAAAACTGTTACTTTTATAAATATAGGTAATTAAACACTTCAACTATCATAAATGCAGGAAACTAAAAACTATAACTTTTAAGTTTTATACATATAGGTAACTAAACACGTCAACTTTCATAAATGCAGGAAACTAAAAACTATAACTTTTATACATATAGGTAACTAAACACTTCAACTTTCATAAATGCAGGAAACTAAAAACTACAACTTTTATACAACTATTACTTTTATACAAACAGGAAACTAAAAAATGTAACTTTTATACATATAGGTAACTAAACACTTCAACTTTCATAAATGCAGGAAACTAAAAAATACAACTTTTATACAACTATTACTTTTATACATACAAGAAACTTAAAACTGTAACTTTTATACATATAGGTAACTAAACACTTCAACTATCATAAATGCAGGAAACTACAAACAACAACTTTTATACAACTATTACTTTTTTACATTCAAGAAACTTAAAACTATAACTTTTATACATATAGATAACTAAACACTTCAACTATCATAAATGCAGGAAACTAAAAAATACAACTTTTATACAACTATTACTTTTTTACATTCAAGAAACTTAAAACTGTAACTTTTATACATATAGATAACTAAACACTTCAACTTTCATAAATGCAGGAAACTAAAAAATACAACTTTTATACAACTATTACTTTTTTACATTCAAGAAACTTAAAACTGTAACTTTTATACATATAGATAACTAAACACTTCAACTATCATAAATGCAGGAAACTAAAAACTACAACTTTTATACAACTATTACTTTTATACATACAAGAAACTTAAAACTGTAACTTTTATACATATAGGTAACTAAACACTTCAACTTTCATAAATGCAGGAAACTACAAACAACAACTTTTATACAACTATTACTTTTATACAAACAGGAAACTAAAAAATGTAACTTTAATACATATAGGTAACTACACACTTCAACTTTCATATATGCAGGAAACTAAAAACTACAACTTTTATACAACTATTTACTTTTATACACACAAGAAACTTAAAACTGTAACTTTTACATGAATTATAAGAAACTAAACATTACAACTTTCATATACACAGGGAATTTAAAATTACAACTTAAGTTCATTATTTTATTTTCCTATTGTAGCCTTTATATTGAAATATGTCTATACATTTTGATAGGCTATTTGTCAATTTGATTAACTGAGTTACACACCTGCAAAAAGAAGTGTCTTGTAAACTTATACATTCTCCATCATTTTGGCATGTTAGAATTCCAGCACAATTATCTTTCATTGTTTCACACATGACTCCTGTATACCCGGTCTCACATTCACATTCAAAGCTGTTTTCACCATCGGTACATGTCCCACCATGTTGACAAGGGTTGCTTGAGCATTCATTGAAATCAGTCTTTGTAAAGAGAAAATAAAGAACAAGATAAATTCCAAAACATTATAGAACAGAAAATATTCTATGGTCAAGTATTGGCAAATGTGACATATACCTGATCAATACACTTCATTATGTCTGTAACAACTCAAACATCAGTAGTTAATGACTGTTTAATTTTCCTAACATTACATTCCTGTACTGGAATATCCCTACTGAGTAGAGTGGAACTTCAGTAAGTCGATGTTGAAGGGTTCGACACATCAGGACTTCGACTCATGAATCTGTCTTATTTTAATGTCAGAATTTCAAGACATCAACGTTAATAAGCGAGATACAAAAGGCGTAACAAACGGGAAGGAAGGGAACTAAACCAGCTTATAGTAAATATATCCCATGTGATTATCAGGCAACACCAGGTCACACTGATGTTCTCACATGAAACTAGTTTGTACTGTTGTAACAACCTGAACATTTTATCACACATTTAAATGCATACAAAGATCACAAGGCTGGGTTATTAAGACCTGTCACACAAGTTGAATGGAAATCATCTTCACAAACAGAAAAGGGGTAAAAAATGTCTCAAGATCAAATGTGTCAAAGGACTTTGAGTTATTTATAGTAAAGTGTACTCCATTTATTCTATATGGACCATGAAATAACTTCAACACATCAGAAAATTTGACTTATAAAATTTTGACTCATACAGGTTTTATAAAGAATATGTAAGGGGGAAAACTGGGTCTTTTATTTTAACAGACAATATCTGACAACATCTGACAACATTTGACAATATCTGACAACAAGGCATTTTTACCATCATCACTTGTGAATGACATTGACTTACTAAAAAAAAGTTTATAGCAATAATAAATTATGGTAAAAATTATCCTGGAAATTCATTTGAAAAGAAGTGATAAAATCATTTAAATATATGTGTTTAAATGTAAGACCTACCTCACAATTTTCACCAACATATCCAGCTTTACATATACATTTATACCCGTCAATTCTGTCTTCACATCTACCATTTTCTAAGTCGCATGAGCCAGGGCAGTCATTAATGTTGTTTTCACATCTGTCACCTATTAAAAATAATAGAAAATAAATGTGAAACCATCAGTCATTGCTAATAATAAGTAAAACCTTCATATCCGTTTTTCCTTCTCCGCTCTTTTGTCAATGGCTTGTTAGGGTAAACATAAATATTATTTACTGAGAATCAATTAAGTTGTAAAGTTTCACTTTTTAGAACTAAATGAGTAACAACTGTATTCTATAATTTAAGATAAACCATTTCATGTTTGTCTACATGTTTATATACATTATTACATATAAATGATTAGTTCAATAATATCATACATAATACATATATCATTGATTTTACCTGTATTACATTATAAACAATAATGGTCATTTTCAAACTCTATTCAGATCAATCTGATTAAAAACCAGCCCCTAAATTAAATCCATTGTATGTAAAAAATGAAGGGGAAATACATGAATGGGATTTTGTCCGAAGGGGATTGTGACCATCCGTAAAAAATAAGTAGGATCCACTGTATGTAAAAAATAAGTAGGCTCCACTGTATTAAAAAAATTAAGTAGGTTCCATTCTGTATGTAAAAAATAAAACCTATGAAAATAATCATTGTATTTCATACCACAAATTTCATAAAAAAGATCTTACCATCAAAGCCATCTTTACACTTGCAAGTGTATGTCTGGTCACCATCTATACATTCAGCTTCATTTAAACACTGATTATTTATACAGTCATCAATGCTGTGTTGACAGAGAGAACCAGTGTAACCAGGTTTACAACTACATACACTGTCAAGATTACCATTGGTATTTTGACAAGTTCCTTCATTACAATCCACAAGTTCACATGGTACTTTAACCTGGTCACAAGCATATCCCACATCTGTTGATAATATCAATATTCAAATATATACATGAGTATTTTAAATTTAGGCAGAAGTTATGGACTGGACACAAACTCAAGCTGCATTGTAAGACTATATGACAAAATTAATTCCTTGTCAAACTTTGAGCTAAGGCACTAAATCTTGTATGCTACACATCATCTTCTTATGGTGATCAAGTTAGTCAGTCTATTTTTAAAACCCATCATGGATGAAGAAGTTATGAGTTAGAGACGTTAAATTTGTATTGTTTACTTATGGTGATCTTTAATAATAATAATAATGTAAAATCCCATCAGACATGCAACAGTTATGAACAGGAAACAAAATATAAACATTTTCAAATTTACACCCACTTACACATAAATCCACACAGAAAAGGATAACACTTTCTGCCCCCAATATTACTGTGGGGATAGTTAAATAAAACAAGGGTCATAATTTCAGTGTATTTAAACTTCCAATGTTCATGCATTTTGAAGAATGACTATATACATGAATAACAAATGTTTGACTGTATACAAGAATAAAAATTTGACTGTAAACATGAATAATAGAGGTGAAACCATGTACATGAAGAAAAATGGTTGACTGTGTACAGGATAAGTCAAGGTTTGAATGTGTACATGAACAAGACAGATTTAACTGTGTTCATGAACAACACCGATTTAACTGTGTTCATGAACAACACAGAATTTAACTGTGTTCTTGAAGAAAAAGGTTAGACTGTGTACATAACACACTTTTAACTGTGTACATGAACAACACAGATTTAACTGTGTTCTTGAAGTACAAAGATTTAACTGTGTACATAACACAGATTTTACTGTGTTCATGAACAACACAGATTTAACTGTGTTCTTGAAGTACAAAGGTTTGACTGTGTACATAACACAAATTTGATTGCATACATAAAAAAGCTTTCAACTTTGATCAAGAAGAAAATGTCTTTGACTTTATACAAGAAGAGTAAATTTTTACATGTATCCATGATCAATAATGGTTTGATTGTATTCATGAAGAATAAGCTTAAAGATTAAAAAGTATTGATGTATGGCTTAATGTATAAAAATCAAAATATTTAATTTTCTCACCTGGTTTGTTATTACAATTTTTTCGAATTGCAAATGAAGAATCTTCCGTCTGTTCCCCTGTATAGGTGTTGTCATACATTTGGCAATTTGGAGTAAGGCCATTGTTAAAGATGGCATAAATACATTCATGATTGTCCTGACAAGCTGTTTTACATTGTTCTATGTCACTAACACTTCTACTGGCAACAATTTTTCCTGCTGCAGCAGCTTCTCCTTCAGTAACAACCATCTCACATCTATAGCGAGTTTCAAACAGAGCTGTGTCACATGTACACACTCCCTCCATTCTGTCCAGGCTGCTATAACATACATTATCTCCCTTACAGTCATTGCTTAAACAGAAGTTTGGAGTATTCTCACAGTTTATACCTCCAAAGCCGGACTCACATTGACATCTATAGCTGTTGACCTGATCAACACATGTTCCATCATACGCACAGGCATTAGGGTTGTTGGCACAGTCATCTGAAACATAAAACATGAAATATTAAACCAAATGATTTTTGAGACAGACACTGACATCTAGAACATAACATAACAGAACAAGCAACTAAAAACTTGATAAATTGTTTATACTGACAGATCAATCAATAAGCCTAGTGTTCAAATGCCACAACTAAAAAATTACAAATTTTCAAAGCATCATGTTTATATTATTCAAGCATGAAATGGTATAATTTTAAGCAAGAAATGTGGGGAGCCATATTATTTTAAGCCAAATATGACTTGTAAGTTGTGACTTATATACAATGTTGTCAGTAAATCATAAATAAACACAAAAATACATAAAGATACTTTTGTTAAATTCATTGTCTAATGTACTACAATAACTTACCTATGTTGTTTTCACAGTTTACACCATCATAACCATCAAAGCAGGAACATTCATATCTCACAGATCCAAAGGGAGTACATGTGCCATGTACACATGGGTTTGAATTGCATGGGCTGTTTGCAACATCACATCTTCAAATAATTAATAAAGATAAATTCACTATAAATTTGACAAATCATACAAAGCAAAGAAAAACAAAATTTGTCTCATAAAAATATGTTCATGATTCATGTTCAGCTAAACCATTGGTAGAGACCATCTTTTACTAATCACATCATTGCGTTTATATGTTTCCACCAGTTAACATAAAATGAGCCACGTCATGACAAAACCAACATAATGGGTTTGTATGAGTATGGATCCAGACCAGCCTGCGCATCAGCGCAGTCTGATCAGGATCCATACTGTTCACTATCAGTTTCTCTACTTGTTATATAGTTTGTAAGCGAACAGCATGGATCCTGATCAGACTGCTTGATGCGGCTCATTAATATAGAACACTGGAATATCATACTTACATTAGTGGTATTCTGTTTTACAGTTACAGTCATCATTAATATACTCGTGTCACAACAGTAAATACTCATTATTTATCACCACCAATTATATTTTGTATCATTTACAGGGATACATAGAGGATATATTTTTTGTTCAGTGTAATATCAGAATAAATTTTACTGAGTGACAGCAAAAGGTATAATTATTTCACGAGTGGCGCAGCCATTCACTACACACTCATATTTTGTAATCACACATTTTTAGAAAAACACTTGAATTCCTCATAGTACAATTTATTGATTATTCTTATTGCAAAATAAGGTCTCAAAAGTATTTATTTCATACATTATAATATATTTATTTTGGCCCTACATTGGGTCACAACCAACACAGGGTCACAACACTGTAATACGGGATAGAATAAAGAAATTTTAAGTCAGAAATCCAGATTTACAGATAAAAAAATGTGTAAGAAAGTTAACTTTGATTCAATTCAAAAATAAAACAGCCACAGACAGGCAAAAATAACTTTTTTTTATTCTTTAAGGGGTCACAGCACCTCTTTCATTTTGACAGTATCAATATGTTTTAAAAAAGTACCAAAATCTACTAGTGTCGTGTTCAAGTTTGCCTGAAATCAAACAAAATGAAACCAGTTCTTGAAGATGAACAAATCATTGTTGATGGACAGACAGACAGACAGACAGACAGACAACATATCAAGGTCAGGAAATGGACAACAGAATCATGTAGATTCAAAACTGTAGGTATGCCTGATTTACCTTATTCCAGAAAATCCTCCATTTGCAGGACAAATACATTGAAAGCCATTGATATTATCTTTACATTGTGAGTTGTCATTACAATTATTGTTCTCACAGTCATCTTTAGTATCTTGTTCACATCTTACACCACCATATGCTGCAGATAATATAAACAAATCAAGTCTTGTTTATAAAATACAGTTTAGTAACTATATCACATCACAATTTATGTTAGTAAATATATAAATAACGTTAATATGGATAGTATTTCAGTACTGTATAACAAAACATGTGTTAGCAACCATATTACACTCATGCCTCTATCAAAAGGATTCTATACCAGAGTACTACTGATTTGCATAAAAGATTGTAAAACTATAATAGGTCATATACCAGCACTAATGATCGAACATAAAGGTCACATACCAGTACTAGTCATCTACCATAAAGGTCATATAACAGAACTCCTCATCTAACATAAAGGTCATGTACAAGTACTAATCATCTAACATAAAGGTCATATACCAACACTAATCATCTAACATAAAGGTCATATACCAACACTAATCATCTAACATAAAGGTCATGTACAAGCACTAATCAACTAACATAAAGGTCATGTACCAACACTAATCATCTAACATAAAGGTCATATACTAACACTAATCATCTAACATAAAGGTCATGTACCAACACTAATCATCTAACATAAAGGTCATATACCAACACTAATCATCTAACATAAAGGTCATATACCAGCACTAATCATCTAACATAAAGGTCATGTACAAGTACTAATCATCTAACATAAAGGTCATGTACCAACACTAATCATCTAACATAAAGGTCATGTACAAGCACTAATCATCTAACATAAAGGTCATGTACCAACACTAATCATCTAACATAAAGGTCATGTACCAACACTAAATCATCTAACATAAAGGTCATATACCAACACTAATCATCTAACATAAAGGTCATGTACAAGTACTAATCATCTAACATAAAGGTCATGTACCAACACTAATCATCTAACATAAAGGTCATATACCAGCACTAATCATCTAACATAAAGGTCATGTACAAGTACTAATCATCTAACATAAAGGTCATATACCAACACTAATCATCTAACATAAAGGTCATATACCAGCACTAATCATCTAACATAAAGGTCATATACCAGCACTAATCATCTAACATAAAGGTCATGTACAAGTACTAATCATCTAACATAAAGGTCATATACCAACAACTAATCATCTAACATAAAGGTCATATACCAACACTAATCATCTAACATAAAGGTCATATACCAACACTAATCATCTAACATAAAGGTCATATACCAACACTAATCATCTAACATAAAGGTCATGTACCAACACTAATCATCTAACATAAAGGTCATGTACCAACACTAATCATCTAACATAAAGGTCATATACCAACACTAATCATCTAACATAAAGGTCATATACCAACACTAATCATCTAACATAAAAGGTCATGTACCAACACTAATCATCTAACATAAAGGTCATATACCAACACTAATCATCTAACATAAAGGTCATGTACCAACACTAATCATCTAACATAAAGGTCATGTACCAACACTAATCATCTAACATAAAGGTCATATACCAACACTAATCATCTAACATAAAGGTCATGTACAAGCACTAATCATCTAACATAGAAGTCATATACCAACACTAATCATCTAACATAAAGGTCATGTACCAAACACTAATCATCTAACATAAAGGTCATGTACCAAACACTAATCATCTAACATAAAGGTCATATACCAACACTAATCATCTAACATAAAGGTCATATACTAACACTAATCATCTAACATAAAGGTCATATACTAACACTAATCATCTAACATAAAGGTCATATACTAACACTAATCATCTAACATAAAGGTCATGTACAAGCACTAATCATCTAACATAAAGGTCACTTACCAGTACTAATCATCTAACATAAAGGTCATATACTAACACTAATCATCTAACATAAAGGTCATATACCAACACTAATCATCTAACATAAAGGTAATATACTAACACTAATCATCTAACATAAAGGTCATATACCAGCACTAATCATCTAACATAAAGGTCATGTACTAACACTAATCATCTAACATAAAGGTCATGTACCAACACTAATCATCTAACATAAAGGTCATATACAACACTAATCAATCTAACATAAAGGTCATGTACCAACACTAATCATCTAACATAAAGGTCATATACCAGCACTAATCATCTAACATAAAGGTCATGTACTAACACTAATCATCTAACATAAAGGTCATATACCAACACTAATCATCTAACATAAAGGTCATATACCAACACTAATCATCTAACATAAAGGTCATATACCAACACTAATCATCTAACATAAAGGTCATGTACCAAACACTAATCATCTAACATAAAGGTCATGTACCAACACTAATCATCTAACATAAAGGTCATATACCAACACTAATCATCTAACATAAAGGTCATGTACCAACACTAATCATCTAACATAAAGGTCATATACCAACACTAATTATCTAACATAAAGGTCATGTACCAACACTAATCATCTAACATAAAGGTCATATACCAACACTAATCATCTAACATAAAGGTCATGTACCAACACTAATCATCTAACATAAAGGTCATGTACCAACACTAATCATCTAAACATAAAGGTCATATACAACACTAATCATCTAACATAAAGGTCATGTACAAGCACTAATCATCTAACATAGAAGTCATATACCAACACTAATCATCTAACATAAAGGTCATGTACCAACACTAATCATCTAACATAAAAGGTCATATACCAACACTAAATCATCTAACATAAAGGTCATATACTAACACTAATCATCTAACATAAAGGTCATGTACAAGCACTAATCATCTAACATAAAGTCACTTACCAGTACTAATCATCTAACATAAAGGTCATATACTAACACTAATCATCTAACATAAAGGTCATTATACCAGCACTAATCATCTAACATAAAGGTCACTTACCAGTACTAATCATCTAACATAAAGGTCATATACAAGTACTAATCATCTAACATAAAGGTCATATACCAGCACTAATCATCTAACATAAAGGTCATGTACAAGTACTAATCATCTAACATAAAGGTCATGTACAAGTACTAATCATCTAACAAATAAAGGTCATATACCAGCACTAATCATCTAACATAAAGGTCATATACCAGACACTTATCCTCTAACATAAAGTTCACATACCAACACTAATCATCTAACATAAAGGTCATGTACCAACACTAATCATCTAACATAAAGGTCATATACCAACACTGATCATCTAACATAAAGGTCATGTACCAACACTAATCATCTAACATAAAGGTCATATACCAACACTAATCATCTAACATAAAGGTCATGTACCAACACTAATCATCTAAACATAAAGGTCATATACCAACACTAATCATCTAACATAAAGGTCATGTACCAACACTAATCATCTAACATAAAGGTCATGTACCAACACTAATCATCTAACATAAAGGTCATATACCAACACTAATCATCTAACATAAAGGTCATGTACAAGCACTAATCATCTAACATAGAAGTCATATACCAACACTAATCATCTAACATAAAGGTCATGTACCAACACTAATCATCTAACATAAAGGTCATATACCAACACTAATCATCTAACATAAAGGTCATATACTAACACTAATCATCTAACATAAAGGTCATGTACAAGCACTAATCATCTAACATAAAGGTCACTTACCAGTAACTAATCATCTAACATAAAGGTCATATACTAAACACTAATCATCTAACATAAAGGTCATATACCAACACTAATCATCTAACATAAAGGTCATATACCAACACTAATCATCTAACATAAAGGTCATGTACCAACACTAATCATCTAACATAAAAGGTCATGTACAAGCACTAATCATCTAACATAAAGGTCACTTACCAGTACTAATCATTCTAACATAAAGGTCATGTACTAACACTAATCATCTAACATAAAGGTCATGTACCAACACTAATCATCTAACATAAAGGTCATGTACAAGCACTAATCATCTAACATGAAAGGTCACTTACCAGTACTAATCATCTAACATAAAGGTCATGTACTAACACTAATCATCTAACATAAAGAGGTCATGTACCAACACTAATCATCTAACATAAAGGTCATGTACAAGCACTAATCATCTAACATAAAGGTCACTTACCAGTACTAATCATCTAACATAAAGGTCATGTACTAACACTAATCATCTAACATAAAGGTCATGTACTAAACACTAATCATCTAACATAAAGGGTCATGTACAAGCACTAATCATCTAACATAAAGGTCAGCTTACCAGTACTAATCATCTAACATAAAGGTCATATACTAACAGCTAATCATCTAACATAAAGGTCATATACCAACACTAATCATCTAACATAAAGGTCATGTACCAACACTAATCATCTAACATAAAGGTCATATACCAACACTAATCATCTAACATAAGGTCATATACCAACACTAATCATCTAACATAAAGGTCATATACCAGTACTAATCATCTAACATAAAGGTCATGTACCAACACGACTAATCATCTAAACATAAAGGTCATATACCAGCACTAATCATCTAACATAAAGGTCATATACTAACACTAATCATCTAACATAAAGGTTCATGTACCAACACTAATCATCTAACATAAAGGTCATATACCAACACTAATCATCTAACATAAAGGTCATATACCAACACTAATCATCTAACATAAAGGTCATATACCAACACTAATCATCTAACATAAAGGTCATGTACCAACACTAATCATCTAACATAAAGGTCATGTACCAACACTAATCATCTAACATAAAGGTCATATACCAACACTAATCATCTAACATAAAGGTCATGTACAAGCACTAAATCATCTAACATAAAGGTCATGTACCAACACTAATCATCTAACATAAAGGTCATATACCAACACTAATCATCTAACATAAAGGTCATGTACCAACACTAATCATCTAACATAAAGGTCATATACCAACACTAATCATCTAACATAAAGGTCATATACCAACACTAATCATCTAACATAAAGGTCATGTACCAACACTAATCATCTAACATAAAGGTCATATACCAACACTAATCATCTAACATAAAGGTCATGTACCAACACTAATCATCTAACATAAAGGTCATATACCAACACTAATCATCTAACATAAAGGTCATGTACCAACACTAATCATCTAACATAAAGGTCATGTACCAACACTAATCATCTAACATAAAGGTCATATACCAACACTAATCATCTAACATAAAAGGTCATGTACAAGCACTAATTCATCTAACATAAAGGTCATATACCAACACTAATCATCTAACATAAAGGTCATGTACCAGCACTAATCATCTAACATAAAGGTCATGTACAAGTACTAATCATCTAACATAAAGTTCACATACCAACACTAATCATCTAACATAAAGGTCATATACCAGCACTAATCATCTAACATAAAGGTCATGTACAAGTACTAATCATCTAACATAAAGGTCATGTACCAGCACTAATCATCTAACATAAAGGTCATATACCAACACTAATCATCTAACATAAAGGTCATGTACAAGTACTAATCATCTAACATAAAGGTCATATACCAGCACTAATCATCTAACATAAAGGTCATGTACAAGTACTAATCATCTAACATAAAGGTCATGTACAAGTACTAATCATCTAACATAAAGGTCATGTACCAGTACTAATCATCTAACATAAAGGTCATATACCAGCACTAATCATCTAACATAAAGGTCATGTACAAGTACTAATCATCTAACATAAAGGTCATATACCAGCACTAATCATCTAACATAAAGGTCATGTACAAGTACTAATCATCTAACATAAAGGTCATGTACAAGTACTAATCATCTAACATAAAGGTCATGTACAAGTACTAATCATCTAACACAAAGGTAATATACTAACACTAATCATCTAATGTAAATGAGTACATACCCGAGCACTATTCATCTAACATAAAGGTAATATACAAACACAAACCATCTAACATAATGGTCATATACCAGCACTAAGCATCACAATTTATGTCTGTGTAACAAAGCATGTGTTACCAACCAGATTATACATCAGCACTAATTAATGCCTCTATCAAAGAATAATATACCAGTACTACTGTTTTTTTTAACAATAAAGATTGTTAACCTGGAAGAGCATTAATGCTTCTAGCACAAGGACTTATGCATGTTTGATTTAATAGCACTAATCATCTAACATATAGGTCATATACCAGTACTAATTATCAAACATAAAGGATAACATACCAGCACAAATCATCTTACATATAGAAATACATAGCAGTACTTATCACCTAAAATAAAATAGATAAATACAGAATCCCTAAAGAAAGTCCAACACGGCAAAATTGAAAATGTTGCAGGCTCGGTTTGATTGAGCCTGTTCATGGACGGTATTGGAAAGTGCAAGTTTCCGACCACGCCCCCTAGCACCGGCTTAAGCAGAATTCAACATTTAAACATGAAATAGTAAAATAAAAGTCATATTCAAGCAGTAATTAACTAACATAAAGGTAATATACAAGCACTTATCCTCTAAAATAAAGGTCATATACCAGCACTTATCATCTAACATAAAGGATTACATACCAGTGCTTATGCTATTTACATATACGAGGGATGATCAAAAATAAACCGGACTGTGACTGTCAATTGAAGAATTTTCAACCTTTCACATATTGTTATATATCACACTTAATCGGAAAACAATACCTGTAAACTGGTGCTTTATCTAATCTGATAACGCAAAAAATGTGTCCGTAACAGCGAATTCAAAAACCATGGTAACGCACACCCGGCGCAGTGCGTAAATTCGCCTTGGCATCAGGCGCTTTAAGTTGTGTATATTTCACAGTATGGCACATTTAGATTTCAAAATACGCCAAAACGTCATGAACCATATCTTTGACGATGTCAGTAAAAATGACTTCATTTAAATTGCAATTACAATTCAAACGTCACATGTTAATGAAATACTCCTGTTAAAACTATGTCGTCTGAATGTCTCGAAAATTGATCAATAAGAAAAATTTGTCAAAAGTAAGACGAGAAACTGTTTAAAACGTAGAAAAATATTATGGCTATCGAGGGAAAAGTTCCAGAAAGCCACAGCATATTTTTTTATTAGAAAAAAATAAGAAAGGGTAATAGAGAAATAGAAAACAAGTAAGGGAGAGACAGAAAAAAGAAATTTTTAAGGGCGTTTGGGACGTCAATCGCCAAGACGTTGAACAAGAGCTGTCCGTAAGACAGCGCGCTCGACTTTTTTATTGCTTGCCAATAAAAAAAGTTTTTGCAGTAAAAGGTAATACAAGAATCTCTGTATTTTTAAAGTGGACAATGGCCATGAGCATTAAGATATTTAGTGAAGAATTATTTTACTGAATTCTCCTGGACATGTTTGGGAATCATGATTGTAAACAAGTATTCCAACTTTCAAATTAATATCTCAAACAGTTCAGTCAAAAAGTGGACTGGTACTAAAAACTTAACCAAGATTCTAAGTCGATAAAAGGCCTTAATTTTTAAAACAAATCCTTGACAGAGTTACCTTCTCTTGCGTACAGATGGGGGTAATGATGTGAAATAGCATTAAAAGTTTCAAAGCAATATCTCAAAGGGTTAAGGCAATAAGTGGATTTTACCCATATTCAATGTATTTTCTAAGTCAAAAAGGGGCATAATTCTGTCAAAAACCTTGACAGAGTTATGTCCTCTTGTCTGTTGATGAAGGTCGTGATGGTAAACAAGTATGGTCAGTTTCAAAGCAATACCTCCAATGGTTTTGAAATAAAGTGAGGTGGTACAAAAAACTTAACCAAGCTCAATACACTTTCTAAGTCAAAAAAGGGCCATAATTCTGTCAAAAACCTTGACAGAGTTATGTACTCTTGTCTGTAGATGGAGGTTATGATGGTGAACAAGTATGGTAAGTTTCAAAGCCATACTTGTAATACTTCTGAAATAAAGTGGGGTGGTACGAAAAACTTAACCAAGGTGTGACGCCAACGCCGACGCCGACGCCGACGCCGGGGCGAGTAGGATAGCTCCCCTTTTCATAGAAAAGTCGAGCTAAAAATGACAGTTGATTGACTGCGGACATTGTCAACGATGTTCGACAGTAGCTACGGCACGGTCCAGTCAACTTTAAGGATTTTAAAATGATAATAGTTAATGCATTAATAACATATATTGCATTCTTGGTTTACAATTGTATCAATTATTTTCTAATTTTAGGCAAAAGTTTTATAGAGAAATAACGATTAGACATGCAGTCACTGTTCAAAATCGGCTATGCGTTTTTTTATTTTAAAATAATCACAATTTTGTTCATAGTTGTATTTTTTTCCTTATGTATGATACATTATCATTCAGCAACATTATTTTACATTATTTGTAATACATAATATAGTTTATTGCATGTGCAATTTTTCCAACAATCAAGTTACAGAAGGAAAGAACGGAAATTTGCGTAATTACAGGAGCTCTTTATCATCATCCATTCTTTTACATACAATATGATACCCACTTGTACAGAAATATATATAGGCAGTGGATCCGCCGCATCAACAACATGACTGTACCACGTATTGGCCTACTCCGTGAATGAGTAAAAAACTGCTCCGTTAAGGAAAATACGCTTGTGACGTCGTTAACGTCAATTTCAAAGTTATACCGTGCGCCGCATTGCTATACATGTACATGCCAATAGCAGCATAACTATTTTATTTGATTATATTTCTTGTTGTTAGTTTTTGTATCATTTAGGTGATAGATTCCGATTTATGTTCCGTGTATTTTTATGAAAATTCATTTAACAGGTAAAGAATCATTTACAAAGTCCGGTTAATTTTTGATCATCCCTCGTACAAGTATTTTGTTGCTTTAAACACATTCTAGTACCAGTAGTAAGTCTGACACAATCCCAGTATTCTTGTATGAAATATTTTAGTACTGTTTTAGTAAGTTATGGAACTGGTAGTAAATTTGGAACATGTCTTTGAAACATGTTTGATCTAACAAGTGACTTCTTAAATATGTTTCAAATACATGTTATATACCAGAACTAAATTGTTTTATATGCATGATCAAGAATAAAAAAATTGGATGCCTAAGTGAATCAAACATTCCTAGATCATAAATCAGCAAAATATGTTCCCTTGATTATTATCCTCAACTGTATAACAGAACTGTCTGAGGGACCAACAACTTATAACTCAGATTATGATATATTTTATAGATTTAATACAATCCAAAAGTAACATAAATATTCATTTTAATCATTTTTATACATTGGTGATTTTTGTACAATTACAGTATTGGTGAGCTGTCAACAATAATATATAATACAATAATAATTTTTTTACCTGTGTTACATTCTTTTTTGAAGTGGACATCTGCTGTGATATCTTCATCTATTAAATCAGCTGGTTGTAGATTGTCATTAAACAGTAAACAGAACTGGTTAGCAATAAACGAGGCTTCTTTACACTGGCTATCTGATAAACATCTTGCCTTACACTGTTCTAAAGTACTTGGCAAAGTTTGATATAGAGCGGGTGAATTTTGAGAACCTACTTTATCTTCATTAGATACCTTCATTTCACATGTGTCCAAATCTGAAATTAACCAAATAAACATATAATTAAAATCACAAATAAATAGTTTTTGTTTATTTTGATTAAGTCTATCAAGGTTTATTTGTGTCATAATTTTTGTTCATGAAGAATTTCAACATCAAATCTGAGCAGTTGGCTTCAAACTAGTGTCATTGTTGAAACTTGTGACCAATATGCTAAAACAACACATACCAACAATAAGATTAAGTTAAATCCTAAAATGAAAATGTTACAAGTATCTTTTTAAGACAATTTTTTTTGTAACATGTTAAAACATTAAAAAAATAGTCCTGCATCATATATTAGATCATAACAATGAATATTGATTTATAAAATATTGAATTATATCTTTAAAAATAAACATTATTTTAATGCACATTTTAATAGTAATTATTAGTGCCCATTTTTTAAAAAAAGCAAGCTAGGGGGTGGGGGCATTTAATGGAGATCTATCATCCTATGAAGATTCAAGTTCATGGCTTTTATACATTAGGAGAAATGGCCAGGACAAAATTAAAGTATAAAAATTAACAAAGGGCAATAACTCAAAAATTAAGAAATGCAGAGTACCGGTTCTTGTGCACTGCACTTCGGGTTATTGAAAGAAGCATGCATACCAAGTTTGAAGTTAATCAGACTTATAGTGACTGAGTTATGCTCCGGACAAGCTTTAGGGGACGCCGACACCGACAAGGACACCGCCGACAAAAGTAAACCCTATATGTAGCCTTTTTAAGGCTACACAAAAAAATGTGAAATAAAATGATTTTGTTTTTTGGTTATTTCAAAGCAAATCTCAGGAATTTCTGACATCTTCATTTACTTTGAGGTACAATTATTTATACTTATATCAAAATTTAAGCAAAACAGGTTGACTTGTAATACATTTTTAACAATGGCACTAAACATTGGGAATCAAAAATAGCAAGTGTCACACAATTTGAAATATTTACTTGTCCTGCATGAACATGTGTAGTCCTTGTAAGTAGCTCCACGATTACATGTGCCACCATTTTTACAAGGATTTCCATCACAAATATGGTACATATTCTGACATCTATCACCATAGTAACCAGAATCTGCGTCTGAAAATACAATAATTTTAGTTATTAGTATGTTAATAATGTACATCATATATAAAGCCCTTAACCTGCCAAATTTCTTAAAAGGACTTGTCCAGCTTCCATTTTGGAACTGACAATCAAAAATTTCAGGGTATGAAGTTGATTTAAGGTAAGCATACCAACTGTATTGAACCTGGCGAGACAACATAGTAGGAATGTGCAGGCTGGTCAGACAACATGGTAAGAATATGCAGGCTGGTTAGACAACATGGTAGGAATATGAAGGCTGGTCAGACAACATGATAGGAATGTGCAGGCTGATTAGACAACATGGTAGGAATATGCAGGCTGGTCAGACAACATGGTAAGAATGTGCAGGCTGGCCAGACAACATGGTAGGAATATGCAGGCTGGTCAGACAACATGGTAAGAATGTGCAGGCTGGTCAGACAACATGGTAGGAATGTGCAGGCTGGCCAGACAACATGATAGGAATGTGCAGACTGGGTAGACAGCATGGTAGGAATATGCAGGCTGGTCAAAAAACATGGTAGGAATGTGCAGGCTGGGTAGACAACACGGTAGGAATGTGCAGGCTGGTCAGACAATATGGTAGGAATATGCAGGCTGGTTAGACAACATGGCAGGAATATGCAGGCTGGTTAGACAACATGGCAGGAATATGCTGGCTGGTTAGACAACATGGTAGGAATATGAAGGCTGGTCAGACAACATGATAGGAATATGCAGGATGGTTAGACAACACAGAAGGAATATGCAGGCTGGTCAGACAACACAGAAGGAATGTGCAGGCTGGTCAGACAACATGGGAGGAATATACAGGCTGGTCAAGCTCTTTACCAATGGCAATGGTTAATTACTTTCTGTTGAAGCAGGGTTAAAGGTTTAATCAGGGTCTCATGTTTCAATTTAACAAAAATGTACCTCTCTTTAACACAATGAAACATTGTTGTAAGGATAATAGACATATCCATACATGTTGGCCAAGTTACAAATATCATGCTTAGCAGACTGTTGTTATGGTATGAGATTTGGGTGTCAATTGTTACAGACCTGTTAGCCTTTGGGATTATATTACTGTACATTTGAACTTGAACATTACATTATCACTCAAAATTAAAATACATTTCCCAAGCAGTATTATTTTAGCATCTTATTATCAACACATGCATTGAACAATTGTTGGAAAAACACTTATAGATATTACACATTTAACATGAATAAACTTAGCAGCAAATACTTAATAAATTGTATATTCATAATAAAAACCTTACAAATATTTTTGAGGCATGTCAGAATATGACATAAGGCATAAAGATCCCACTGTTTTAACAATCTAAATTAAATCTTACCACAAGTACAGTAATTACGATGACGTTTGAAAGAGCATTCACCGTGACCATTACAATAGTCTCTGTCACATGCTGAAATAAAATTAAAACCAACCATTATAATACCTATATATGTTAGCCTAAAAACCAATGAAATAAATGGTTGTGAGTTGTTGAGATACAACTGACATGAAACACTCTGGAATATCTTTGATCAGGATAGACAATTTTTCAGTGAAAAACTAAAAGTTCATGACATATTATGCCAGTGAAAAGTGTGCCAGTTATGATCTGACATATTAGAAGCTTACATGAATATCTTCATTGATTATTGTGATTTGAATTTTGGAATACATTATGACCATGGTATTATGTTAACAGTCAAAAGCAAATATGATGCCATAAAAGAAATTTACGAAAATAAATATAAATAAATGTATATATATTATTAAAGGGATATTCAGACAAAATAATGACAAAAATATTAAAATGATCTTATGTACTCAAATCACGCTAAAATGACTTTTGTTGAAGTTTCAACATGAATTTCTGTTTAAATTTTATATATTTTGTGTTTGAAGCATAAATATATCTATATATGTTGAACAAAATTTAGACACAAATAGAATCACCAAATAGTTTTAATACAAGTCAGATGACTTGAACAAACCCTTGAAGTTACAATAACAGATATTGTGGATATAGTATGATTGAAACAAGCCTAAGTCATTCATTTGACATGTTCTTTAATGTTTCCAGAGTTCACTTTGACAACTATTGTGAAATGCTAGCACTCTAACCTGACCCACTCTAGTCAAGTTAGGAAACCATTATTTTATTCTTTATATGGAGAAAAGTTTTGTTCCTTTGACTTTCTAATATATTCATTTCGAGGGCATTTACTAAATAATGAATGAACAATTCAAAACTAAGAAATGAAAATTTTGCCTGTGTCTCCTTTCAAAACAAGAACTTTTGGAGGACAGTATTGGCTTGACTATTCAAAAATTGTCACAAGGGTGTTTTATTGAGTATAATAACGCTTATTACCTATGAATACATAAAATTGACCGAAAAGGTACAAAGGCTTGTTATTAAGATGTTTTATCAAGTAAATCACTGCTTAATTATTATGTATGCATATTAAAAATGTCCCAAAAAAAGGCACAAACTCTTCAGTAGTTATGGAGATAACAGCTTACAAGCAAAACTTTACCATGTATTTCTAAGTTGAAAAGGGGGAGAAAAATCAGCCTAAATGCAAGATAGAATTATGGATCTTGGTCAATGACCTACAATTATGATTCTAAATGCATATGTGAAGTTTTTAATAAATATCTTCAAATAGTTATTGAGATATGTAAAACTTGCATGGAAACATTAGAGAGACTAAGTAGAAAAGGGGAGATGAAACAGCCTAAATGTGAGTAGAGTTATGGAACTTGGTCAGTGACATACAATTATGACTCTCCAATTATGACCCTTAGTACATGTGTAAAGTTTAAAGTAAATATCTTTGAAGACCTTTAACCTTTAACCAAAATTTCTAAGTTTCAAAGGGGCAAATAATTCTGAGGCAGAGTTATGCAATTTTGCAAACTGATGAACATTGTTACTTTAAAAAAGTATTGTAAATTTCAATTGAATATCTCAAGCAATAATTATGAGATATTTGACTTTATAAAAAAACTTAAACCAAAATTTCTAAGTTAAAAAGGGGCATAATTCTGTCAATATTGTAGGCAGAGTTATCCAACTTGTCAATCTGATGTATATTGATACTATAAATAAGTATTGTAAGTTTCAATTGAATAGCTCAAGCAATAATTGAGATATTTGAATTTTCAAAAAACTTTAACCAACGCAGACGCGGACGCGGACGCTGAGGCGACTACAATAGCTCTCATATTCTTTGAATAGTCGAGCTAAAAATACAAATTTCATACTTTTAAGAAAAAAACAACAAAATACAGATAAATTTTGACACTGAATGTTAACAAAGAATATAACAAACTTACCATCTGTTATTGCAATACAGTCATCACTTTTTGTGCTGCCAGAAGTTAATGTTTTACTGCTGTCACTACATTTTTTACAGGTCATCTGTCCTGTTTGATCCTGGTAGAAGTTAACTGGACATGATGTACAGCCATTCACATTATAGCCTGTTCTAGAGTACTGACCCACAGGACATGGTGCTATATATAACATTACATGAATTATTAGGATTCATTTCACAAACATATACATGTAAGTGAACAAGAGGGCCATGATGGCCCTGAGGTCGCTCACCTGTATATAGGCCCCCCACCCCCGGGCCAATTTTTACCCAAGGGCTTTTATTTATTTATTTGAACAGACTTGGTAGACACCCATAAGATGTTTCATGCTAAACATCTAAGTTCTAGCTCATTGGCATTTTTAAAAGAAGATTTCTAAAGTTTTTACTATACACATATAGTTAAAAACAATGTCACCCCTTGGGCAGGGCCAGTTTTGACCCCCGGGCGTTTATTTTAACAAACTTTGTAGATATTTACTTAAAGATGTTTCATGCTTAATATCTAAACTCTAGCTATTTGGGTTTTTCCAAAGAAGATTTTTAAGTTTTTGCTATACACATATAAGGAAAATCAATGAACCCCCCTCCCCCCCCCCCCCGGGCGGGGCCAGTTTTGACCCCAGGGCTTTTATTTGAACATACTTAGTAGACACCCATTAAAACATGTTTCATGCTAAATATCTTAGCTCTAGCTCTTTGAGTTCTTTAAAAGAAGATTTTTTAAGTTATTACTATATGCATATAGGGAAAATCAATGACCCCTGGGGCGGGGCCAATTTTGACCCCAGAGCTTTTATTTGAACAAACTTGGTAGACACTCATTAGAAGATGTTTCATGCTAAATATCTTAGCTCTAGCTCTTTGGGTTCTTTAAAAGAAGATTTTTTAAATTTTTACTATATGCATATAGGGAAAATCTATGACCCCCTGGGGCAGGGTCAATTTTGACCCCAGGGCTTTTATTTGAACAAACTTGGTAGACATTCACTAGAAGATGTTTCATGCCAAATATCTAAGCTCTAGCTCTTATGGTTCTTTAAAAGAAGATTTTTTAAGTTTTTACCATATGCATATAGGGAAAATCAATGACCCCCGGGGCGGGGCCAATTTTGACCCCAGGGCTTTAATTTGAACAAACTTGGTAGACACTCACTAGAAGATGTTTCATGCTTAATATCTTAGCTCTAGCTCTTTGGGTTCTTTAAAAGAATTTTTTTTAAGTTTTTACTATATGCATATAGGGAAAATCTATGACCCCCTGGGGCGGGGTCAATTTTGACCCCAGGGCTTTTATTTAAACAAACTTGGTAGACATTCACTAGAAGATGTTTCATGCCAAATATCTTAGCTCTAGCTCTTATGGTTCTTTAAAAGAAGATTTTTTAAGTTTTTACTATATGCATATTGGGAAAATCAATGACCCCCGGGGCGGGGCCAATTTTGACCCCAGGGCTTTAATTTGAACAAACTTGGTAGACACTCACTAGAAGATGTTTCATGCTAAATATCTTACCTCTAGCTCTTTGGGTTCTTTAAAAGAAGATTTTTTAAGTTTTTACTATATGCATATAGGGAAAATCAATGACCCCCTGGGTCGGGGCCAATTTTGACCCCAGGGCTTTTATTTGAACAAACTTGGTAGACATTCACTAGAAGATGTTTCATGCCAAATATCTAAGCTCTAGCTCTTACGGTTCTTTAAAAGAAGATTTTTTAAGTTTTTACTATATGCATAAAGGGAAAATCAATGACCCCCAGGGGCGGGGCCAATTTTGACCCCAGGGCTTTTATTTGAACAAACTTGGTAGACACTCACTAGAAGATGTTTCATGCCAAATATCTAAGCTCTAGCTCTTATGGTTTTTTAAAAGAAGATATTTAAAGTTTTTTCTTTTGGTTGCCATGGCAACCAGAGTTCTGCATGGAATTAAATTCTTTGAACAATTTTTAAAGGTGACCACCAAAGGAACATTCCTGTGAAGTTTGGATGAAATTGGCTCAGTGGTTTATGAGGAGATGTCATTTAAAGCAAAAGTTTACGGACGGACGGACTGATGGACGACGGACGGACGCCGGACGAAAAGCGATCACAAAAGCTCACCCTGTCACTTTGTGACAGGTGAGCTAATAAAATGATATTTACACAGTAAATAAACAAGTCTACATCCTGCTTTAGCAAGAAAATTTAATGTTGAAACCAAGAAAGGTACAGTGACACAAAGTAACATATGATTGCAAGACAGAGTACAGATCAAATTGTATAGGCTTGCAAGATAGGGTAGAGTAATTTTGTTTATATACTGTGAATTAGTATAATGAGGCACTGGTACATGAGTTATGTTGAATTTTGAAACTGAAACATTCTACAAAATTAACAAAGTTACCAGCCTAGACCATAAATCAAAGTGGAATATATCTAGACTTTAAGTTACCAAAGTAACAAGACCTAAACAAAAAGGCAAATTATCAAAGACCTGGGTGTAGACGAAATGTGGTTTTGAAATTTAATGATGATGATATTCATATAAGTTGTCAATGTCTTATTCTTTTCCTAAGACAGGTATAGATTTCTAACCGTAACATTTAGTGTCATCCGGTGCTCCTTCTAAACCAACAGTTGTATAGTCAGTTGGACAAGGTGAGCATTCGTCTTTAGCAGTCCAGTACGTGTTTGGCTGACATGGTGTGCACGGGTAAAACCCATTTACAGATGTAAACCCTGCTGGACAAGTTCCTGGAAATACAAAACAACACCTTCATCAGATATATTTGACAATTCTAAAACTACAAACTATCTTTATCAAGATTAAATTCAAACTATATCAAGAGTAAATGAATAACAATGACACAAGTGTAATGATTGAATGTATAAACAAACACAAGTGTAATGATATAATGTGTAAACATACATACACAAGTACAATGATAGAATGTGTAAACAAACACAAGTGCAATGACAGAATGTGTAAACAAGTGTAATGATAAAATGTGTAAACAAGTGTAATGATAGAATGTGTAAATAAGTGTAAAGATAGAATGTGTAAACAAGTTCACATATCTGATTTAACTGTCAACAAAATATCATAAATTATAGTTTCATTTGTTATGCAATGAAGGTATCATACCTTACGTTTAAAATTCTTTCATTAATGTCTTATAATATGTTACAAGAACTGACAGTTTATTCAATCAATTCATTTATTAAGTTTTGTAAAATAAAATATTATCATAGTTTAGAGAGTTTTATATGAACTACTTTGAAGATTTTCAGGATATTTGTACTTACGTTGACAACTAGTTTGATCACTATTTGGGAACTGTCCTGTACCACATTCTTTACAGCTTGTCTGGGCTAAACCATTTTGGTATTGTCCCGCTGGGCACGCTTTAACAGTATTTGTATCCTCATCAAAATATTGTGCTGGACCATGTTGTACTGTGATAATATATCATATATTTTCATTTCTTGCATCAAATTTATTACAGTTTCAGCAATTCATTTAGACTATATACATTTATTACAGTTTCAGCAATTCATTTAGACAATATACATTTATTACAGTTTCAGCAATTCATTTAGACAATATACAATATATTTTTCCTTTAATCATAAATAAAATATGACTGGAAACACATATTGTTCAAAACAGTAATGCTTAAGTGTTTAGCAAAAAAATAAAATGGGCAGGGGAATTCCATTTACTGATATCATAACATTTATGTCAAATTCTTTAATACATTATGTGAATACAATAAGCCCATGTTTCATTAAAGAAATATAATTTAAAAAAGATTCAACGGATGTAAGATACAGATTTCCATCATATATTGATACATAATATTATTTTTTAATTAATTCAAGGCAATAGATGCTATGATATAGCCATGTTATATATGACAACATATAGGGCATTAAACAGTCGTCATTAAGTCACTTACTCTTGTTGTTGAACTTTTTTTTATAATATTAAATTATTTAAGTGATCTTTGAGAAATAGCCATTTTACATATTCTACTCACAACAAAGAAATTTTCCGACAATATTCTTACTTATTTAGAATGTATTCTTTTCATCCATACTCAGATATAAGCCTTACTAGAGTGAAAATAATATTTTATAATTTCTTTGTCCACTGAAAAGCATAGAATAAAGTACTAGCCCATGTGACCATGGGTATTAAGTGAATTTTGTCTGTTAATCGACTTTTGCTCAACCAGACCAGCAACCGCTTATTAGTCAGGTAATTGAGATCAAGTGACCACCTTTACCTGTGAAGTGCTTGAGGTTTTAGAGAACGCCGCCTCGTGATGTCACAAAACACAATGTATGAAGTACATGTATGATGCTTATTCTCTAATAAAATCAATAAGAGAAAGTAACACTCTGCCTCTACAGTGATGATTTATACGCTTCTCTCTTGATATTTACACTGCATTGAACTTTATCAGCAGTTGATTAAATTGATCATTACAATTAGACGTAATTTATTCAAATTAAAAATGCACAACAAAAAGCATTTATAGTCTTGAGATTTTTAGTGTCAGGGACAAGGCAAAGCAAAAGAGGAGCCCAAAAATTATAGAAAATATCAAAAATGTATGTAACGGATCAAAACTGTTTTGTTGATAAATATCAGAAAGTCATTTTTTTATTTTAGTAGCTATTTAGATTTTCAGAGTGTTTAAAACATATTAACATAAATTACACAAAGAAAAGATATCATGAATGAATCTTGACTTTTTCTCATACTTTGTGTTAAGAGACCGATGCATTAAGTGACAATTTTTGTTGTTTCCCTTTTGCAGTGGCTTAATATATGTTTGCCTGTATTTTATTTGCCTGAGTCTAAGAAAACATAAGATTACAGAAAACTCACAGCAAATATCGCCATCAAGATAATACCCAGTCTCGCAATTCTTTGTTCCTTGTCCGTTTGTTATTGTCTCTACAGACAGGGTCAGTTGATTTCCATCACATGTCAATACATTGTTGTTAACAACAAAAACAGAGTTCAAATTATCTTCATTCACTAGTTTCTGGATACATTCATCAGCAGCGGCCACAGTGACAGATGACTGCAGTGTTAGTTTCATAGTTGTTTCATACTAAAATATCAAAATAAGTTCTTGTTAGTCCAAATTTCAGGCCCTACTGACACAAAATATTATACAAAATAGCAAACTTAAAAGTGGATTGATTATTCAAATATAAAACAATGTAGGATATCAAAATATTTCATTCTCTTACTTCCCCAAAAAACTAACAATTCCTCAATAGCAAACAAGACCATTAACAACAAACAATTCATTTAAGAAAATATTATGTTATCATATAAAATATTTAAACACTCACTGTTAATATTTATTATTACATCTTGCCTTTCACAAATTTGATAAAAACACATAAATTGTCTAAATATATATTATGTATGTCTTACTATAAAATTTTCATTTGAAACAGTATTAGCTGTCACATCTGAAATTGTCCATGATTGACTACAGAGATTGTTTATTCTGGTTCTGAAAGTATTTACACTCCCAGTCACAGCAACACGAAAGGCATCCAAACATCCCAAAGTAAGAAAACTTAATCTATGTTGTACAGTGAATGGAACATCATACTGTGGGTTATTTTGCCCTGAAATATGCATGGATAAAAATAATATTAACAAACACTCCAATATATATTCTACAATCATAAATCCCATGCTTAAACATCTTTTATTATACAACCTTAAAATAGCTGAAATCACATTGGTTCAAACAGAAGTCAATACAAAAAAGGAGAAATTATATTCACTGAGTGTAGATCGGTGGGGATTTTCCCAATCTAAAAATAGAATCAGACTGAAATTCAAAGACCATACAGCATTATAAGACTATTCAAAATTGTTGAATTTTGTTCTTTATGGCATCGCTCTTGATTCAAATCTATTTACTTCACAATAATAAATGTAGTTAAAAGTTACACTGCAATGATAAAGGCATTGATAACTTTTTCAATATTAGGCTTCACTTTTTGTTTTTGTGTATGTGCTTTTTTCTTCTTTTTTTTTTTTTAATCTTATCATATTTCAATGGCTTCAGCCTTGTCAATAAATTGTAAATACTTTATTTAAGCATAATATCATTACAAATATATGGTGTAATGTCTATGAGATATTAAGCAAAATATGAAAAAGGATACCATTAAAAGGATGGCCCATCAGAAATTGGAAAAAAACCAAAAAAAAACAACAAAAAAACTCAATTAAACATACAATAATCATAGTATTGCAAGCAATACATAAGTTCCCTACTGGTAAGAACCCCTGAGTGAGCAATATTTTGAATAGCCATTGGCCATTCAATTAATTATGCCAATGAAATGAATGACATGATAAACCTAAAATCTATTGAGTTCTTAATTTGCCTGTATTATAGTAATGTGTTAAGTTTCCCTGCCTCAAGTAAGGAAATTATGTTTATACAACAGATTATCAAAAGGTCCAATTTTCTCAGGATGAATATAATTATATAATTCAACTTTTCTCTAATTTAAGTAAATTTGACAGAAAAGTTTTTTTAAAGTGATCTCAGGAAAAAAAAACAGACAGACAGATGGACTGAGAGACACTCTGAGTGTAAATATTTAATCATAGCTGGTTGTTACCACAATATATCATTTTTAAAAGCAAAATTCTTAAACTAAAGAGGAGATAACTCTTGAAATAAAGTTGCTAAACTTATGAACACTGTCATACATGTTGTGAGTGTAACAAAGAACAATTATCTTAACAATTATCTTAAGTTTTAAGTAGATATCATTTATAGTTACAAAGAAGATAAGTAAAAAAAAATAACAATTTATTTATAGTTATAAAGAAGGAAATTGTTTTAACTTTACCAAATGTTGTTACTCTAGAGAAATCATGACATAGTCACATCAGAACCATATGTCTTAACTTTAGAGAGTTCATGACATAGTCACATCAGAACTAAATGTCTTAACTTAGAAAGTTCATGACATAGTCACATCAGAACCAAATATTTTTACTTTTAGAGAGATCATGACATAGTCACATTAGAACCATATGTCTTAACTTTAGAAAGTTCATGACATAGTCACATCAGAACTAAATGTCTTAACTTAGAAAGTTCATGACATAGTCACATCAGAACTAAATGTCTTAACTTAGAAAGTTCATGACATAGTCACATCAGAACTAAATGTCTTAACTTAGAAAGTTCATGACATAGTCACATCAGAACTAAATGTCTTAACTTAGAAAGTTCATGACATAGTCACATCAGAACAAAATTAATATTTTAACATTTGATAGTTCATGCCATAGTCACATTATAACCAAATATCTTAACTTTAGAGAGTTCATGACATAGTCACATCAGAACCAAATACTTTAACTTTAGAGAGTTTTATTATTTACTATAAATTAAGTGAATATCTGATCTGATGTCAGAAATATTTAAAAACATGTTAAAATCTAAGAATGTTTTCTCAGTCAAATTGGGCCATTATTTTGTCAAATTTCAATGAAGAGTTGTGGAACTTGGCCTGATGAATCCATGTTTTGACCTTTTATATACATTTCATGTGTCTGTTCTGAATTCATAGACGCTTAAGTCAGAGAGGTAATTCTGAAGATTTTTTAAAGTTCATTAGAGCTCTGGAGAGTCACATTTTACATGAATAAAATTTGCATCAAACATTTCCATTTAAAATGTTTAAAACACCAGAACTAAACATGCTTAAAAACAATATTCAGAAATAAATAAGCATAGAAAAAAATGCCACATACTTAGACAGTATCGATTATGAGGTTCTACAATTGGTGACTGATTATAATCCCATGATCCTGACCCTGTGCATCTAAATGTCTTCTCTGTGGTTTTATCTGAGAACATATAGCCAGCCCTGCATGTTGATGTACATACAAGTTCGTTACCCTCGGTAACACAAACTGGTACTCCAGCATTAACATCATCAAATAATTCCTCTTGGAAACAAGCACCCGCTGTAAACAAAAATATACTCTTGATTTGAATAAAATCTTGTTTTTTTACATAAAGATACATTTTGAATAGCACTTTTTTCTCTTAAATTAGAATTTTCACAATATTCTATAATCAAATTAGAGTCATTCCGAAAATGCAATGCAAAATGTTAACATATGTATAATCACAATGTAATATAAGAAAACTTATTATGAAATATGATGAAATACTTTTCTACACTGGGTATGATAACAGATACAAATACTCTCGACCCCAAAACACTTCCTTACAGACTCAAAGTAATATCTGTGAAGTCTATCACGTGATCATGTGATAACTATCATGAGACAATATGATAACTATCATGTGAAAATTATCATGTGAAAATTATCATGTGAAAATTATCATGTGAAAATTATCATGTGATAACTATCATGTGACCATGTGATAACTATCAAGTCATCATGTGATAACTAAGCTCAAAATTGATATCACACATCATATTACATAAAATAAAGTAAAAATACCGGTATATCATACCTAATGTTATAACATATTTCTTATGTGTCTGTAAAATGACATCATATTATATCAAACATATCATTTAAAACAGATCTGTTATACATTACAATAGTTGAACTCACCAACAAAATGTACCATATAGGTACAAGATGATTCAGTGTTAAATTCATTGGCTGCTGTAATAGTTATCAGCTCCATTGTACCTATCTTATCAACAGAAGAACGAATGATTGAAGGATTCACACTAGTGATGTCACCACCAGAAACTGTAACATCTTCATTGTAATCGTATGTTTCAGAATTTCTTGAAGTAACCACGAAAGTTTTGGAATCGGGACAATTTAAAGTAGGTTTGTCATTACGATCTGTAAAATAAACAATGAAAATAAACAATGCGTTGTTTGAAAACAGTAAAACATAAATTTACGATGATTAAACTTTGTTCAGGAGACTTTCTATCAGATGTTTTGATGTCAAATCATAGTTCTTAATCAGTACAAGAGGTCATGAAACAATGTGAAATTTATAATAAATACATTATACACGCACATATTTCAAGAGAACTGTAATATACTAGTCACTTTAAGAAGTTATAATGCTCCATTTCTTGTCTTTTAACAGGTAGATTGTATTTTTAATTGCATGTATTTACAAACTAGAATGAAGAACGTTTTTCTTATCTATATTTGATGTACAAGTTTAACTTTGATTCAAACAAAAATGATGTGTGTACAATGCAGACTGTTTACAATAACTCTTTTCCCCCCTGGATGGTTATTTAAATAAAGCTAAATCTTCCTTAATAAAAACTGTCGTTTAAATATCTCCTAAGCAGAATATTTACTGAATTTTCTGTTTAAATGCAAATTGTTTAAATCAATAAAATATAGATAAATCAAGAAATGAATTCTGTGTAAAATTATAAATAAATTTTAAATGATAATACATACTTATGATATTGAATTGAACAGAACAAGTTTCTGTATTTCCTTCAAAATCTACAGCTGTGTATGTGACTGAAGTGTCGGTGATAATTCTGTCACCTGGCCTAATATTATCAGTCATGGTGATTGAAGCAAGTTTGAAGTTATCAGAAGCGGTAGGTGTGTTAAAGCTGACACTGTCAACAGCATCTACATCCTTTGTTTCCCCACAGCTGCCACTAAATGTTGGTTTAGTCGTGTCTGGAATATTACATAATTAAAGTTAAACTATGACATGTTTAAACAAGTTATACCATTTAGACAGAGAGAGTTTAAATTTCATACTTGAGAAAGTCTTCAATTTTCATGTCATTTGATTGTTTTCATTGCTTCTAAGGAATCTCCCCTTTCCAACATTAAAATAATTCTTGTAAGACTTTATATGACTCTGCATATAGAAACCATCTCAGTTTTAAATTTCAGAATAGAAAATTTTTCCAATATACACATGTCTATTTTAATTAAATGACAGTTAGAGAGCAAGCCAATTTTGACCCAAGGAGCATATTAATTATGTAGTTGCCCACCTGAGGCAATACTATAACCCAAAAATATTTTTTACATGCGTTTTCCGATTGAAAACATATATTAAGTTGGACTCATTTTGATTCTAGGGGCATAATTTACATAACTTTTGAACTCTTCAACTAAATTACGTTAATGATAATTTATTTTCTATACTTATCAATGACATAATTATCACATTATTCCTAGAAATATAAATGAACCACGCCATAACAAAACCAACATAATGGGTTTGCGACCAGCATGGATCCAGACTAGCCTGCGCATCTGCTCAGTCTGATCAGGATCCATGCTGTTCGCTGTCAGTTTCTCTACTTGTAATAGGGTTTGTAAGCAAACAGCATGGATCCTGATTAGACTGCGCGGATGCGCAGGCTGGTCTGGATCCATACTGGTCGCAAACGCATTATGTTGGTTTTGTCATGGCGCCGCTCAAATATTAAGTTTTAAGGACTTACCTGTACATTCTGGTAAATTTCCTACAAGATTGTTAGACCACTCGGCATTACCACCGATATATTGACATGTGTACTTGATGTCAGGAACAGTAAATCCATCTCTGTCACATGTGTAATAAAGTTCTGAGCCTATGTCATAACCATCAAACACCTGTTTTGAATCTCCTAGTGTGCCCGGATCACTACACATTTTTCCTGGATGGACAAATTTTAATTTATTTGAATATAATGAAGTTCTACATGAATATAAAAATTCTGAGAACAATTACACAATTCATTAATTTTAACTAATGTAACTTAAAAGCATCTGAAATAGTTTGTATGAACAATAAGTAACTAGGAAATCACATTTATTGTTCATATTTTAATTAAAATGATTAAAACAGTAAACTTATTCGCCAACTTTTAAAAAGTACATGGTCAAACATTTACACTATAAAAGCATTTTTGTATAAAAAAAAAATAATAATCTTTATTGGGCATTTCTCTTAGTCTACTGTACTTAACTCTTGATGTTATATTTATTTTATTAAGTACAAATATATTTGTATATGTAAATTGTGTACTATCTAACATGGGCATGTTACGAATATGCACATACACAAGTAAGATAACAAAATGACTCAAAGATAATGTTTATACCTGCACAAGCAAGTGTACCAAAACTCCATCTAGCATTGTCCTTACACTTGACTACATTATCACCTTCTTCATCACCGGATGATCCTATCACATCATAACCAGGATCACAGTCAAATGTAAACTTTGAGTTGCTGGATAAATATGTTGTTGTCAAGGGTCCTACATTGTTTAAATATTTCCCACCAGTAGGCATTACTAACTCAGGATCACCGCAGTTTATTTCTATATCATAAAACAATATAATTATCACTGCTAGTGTTAACTGAAGGAATAACTATATCAAAATATTAGAAAACACCATTATCTGTATAAGTTCCCATGACCAAATGTTACATTATAGAACATATACAAGTAGTAAATAAATATAGACAAAAACATTTTAAGTCATCACTAAATTACATTTATTATTCATCAAATGAATGAGTGGCTGCATGGCTAAGTGGTTAACACATCACACTAGTAATCTAAGGATTGCTGGCAACATGGGTTCAAATCCCGTCTGGGGCAAGCTGTTGTTTCCGTAAGCAAAAAACTATACACTTATTGCTTCATACTGGTTTGTTCTAGGAATTGATTTGGAAGTGTTTCAATAAGCTCATAGCTTTCAACACAATCAAACTAAAATACATTACTATAAACTTAATGAATATGCTACTAAGACTTACTTATCTGTTTGAATATGTTTAACATTGATATAAAATTGTCCTAAATGTTATAAAAATTACCTGATAAATAAACAAATCACAATGTCATGGATTTTACCATCCTACATAACTATATCTAGAGCTAAACAGTGTCTTGTATTTGTACATGTACATGATATATTTCAATATTAAGTTATTTTCGTTATCAATTGGGTAACTGTGGTATGATTATTATCAGTTTATTCATTTACATGACAAAATTCTTATTTGCATTGCTCAATGGTGAAAATGTTGTATTTTATGCATTCTAATTAACTTCTTTATTATATATTGATGTTTTAGGTTTCATTTCCTTTGTATACATCAAGTAACTTATTCATGTTTTAGGTATAAATCGGTTAACTTCTTAATTAAATATTCATGTATTAGGTTTCGTTTTCTTTGTATACATCTAGTAAATTAAGGATCATATGCCAGGAGTTGTAGAACTTTATTTAGTCTACCCTGTGACATTATCATATCTATTGTTTACATTTCAATAATGTGAGAAAGCTCAGGGCGCAATCACACAGGAATTGGAATAAAAATTTGGGTAGATCTAAATAATGTTCTGACATGATAGTTTTAACTTTATTAGAAAATAAAAGGGGCGTCCGTAGCATGGTTATGGTCGTTGACTTCAAACCACTTGCCCCTCACCACTGTGGGTTCCAATCCCGACAGGGACTTTGGATTCTTTCATGTGAGGAAGCTATCCAGCTAGCTTGCAGAACGTTGGTGGTTCTACTCAGGTTTGCCCGTTTGTGCCTGAAATAATGTTCAGTAGGGCACCTTAGGTCTTCATCCACCAGTAAAGTTGGATGTCGCCATATGACCTTTACTGACGTAAAACAAAATCAAAACAAAACAAATAATAGAAAATAAAAGATACTGTAAGTCTGTTTGGAAATGACAGTTTGATGTGCGAATTAATATTTTTTACACATGTATAAAGCATCAAATAATTTATAATAGTCTCATTTTACCTGGACACTTTGTGATGTCATCCCCAGCAAAACCTAGACCAGTATCCTTATCTTTATATATACAAACAGCATTTAATTCCTTCTTGTCTGCATCATCATTTGTAAGTTGACATGTTAATTTTAAACGTTCTCCAAACTTTACCTCTGTCTTATCATATACACCATTATTAGGTACTGCAGGTAATGTACACTTTCTTGCTGGAAAAATCATACAATAACTATTTTAGTAAT